ATCCCCTGTTTTTAACTTTTAAGGGAATGAGATGGAGAGCATAAGCAGGGGAAAGGAAGGTTCCCTCTGTAGATAAACAGATTCTCTTCCTTGCTTGACTCTCTCTCTCTTTTGAATTGTTTCAGACCACATACTGTTGGTAAGTTAATTTAAATTACAAAGACGTGCCTGTATTACGTTTCATCCAGTATCTCTCACCTTTTTCACTTTGATAAATACTAATCAAGTGATATTAAAAATAAATGCTTGAAATCCTGTTGTAGACCTCTGCATGCATAAAGGAGATCTCAACAACAGGAGTAAATTGCTGCTAATTAAAGGCTTCCTTTAACAACTTCAGGATGCATGCTACTTTGTAGCATTCTGTATAAGTCATCTGCACCCCAAAATTGCCATTAATTAGCAACTATTTCCCTTTAAAGGCACAATTTGCTGCTGGTGGTGTTGTCACATCTGCTATGCATATGGAACCGCACAATAGGATTTCAGCCAATGTAGAGTTTTGTGTGAAAGACCTCAGTATTTCTGGATCTTATTTTTTAGCACCCTTATTAAGTTAGGAGAAGGTATAGATTGTTAAAGCAGATTTAAAATGTGTCCTGTAGGTACATTGTGTACATTGAATAAATGCTGAATAGAACATCTAGTTCTTGTAGTGTGGTATTCCACCATATGGTATATGGCTACAAAACAACAGAATTGCTCATCTGTACTAATGAAAATTCATAGTTCTTACCCATTGAACTCTGTCTCTTGAGTGTAGAGCCTTTTACATTTCTTTTAAAATAGCAGCTCTTTCACATACTCTTTCAGGAACTTCTTCAGATGCCGCTTTTTCCTCTTCTTGGCGTAGAAAGTAGCTTAGAAAACAACCTTTATCTTAGCTGTTCATGCAGGCTATACTATAGTGGTAGACAGATGTTGCCTATCCTGATATTTTGGGATATAGCTTCTACAGCCCATTGCCATGCCAGATGATACTGGTTGAAATTATAGGCGCCTTGAAGGCTGAAAGTTCTCCACTGGTGCTTTGAAATTTATGAAGTTCTGGGCTTGAGGTATAAGTAGGTAATTGTTAGATTAAGAGCAGCTTTTGATCTGTTCAGATAGCTTGAGAAATATTTGGTGGAAAGAGCAACCTCTTTAGTTAGAATGGCACTTTTAAAAAGACTTAATCTGCACATGATCTCATACCCAGAAAGAGATAACGTAAAGAAGTTTTCTGATGATATGTTGCTTCCTTTAAATGCATAACTATCCCAGTATCTCTCCCATTCCTTGCCCTTCTATAGTCAATCCAGTGTGTTGCTTTGCCTTGCAGCCCTTTGCAATTCAGAAATGGTTCCTGCAGACTAGAGTAGGAAAATGGCAGCTGCAAGCTGAATTAAAATTAGAGAGTACCTCGTGCTCCCTGATACAGTGAAAGTTGTTAAGCAAGTTAAAACTACATGCACATAAAATGAAACTGCTCTTGGCAATTATTGCAAAACACAGAAATGTCCTTTTATGGAGTATTGCAAAATGAAAAACAAATGTTGCCTGTTGAAACAATCAGCTTCCTCTATGCATAATTGTGTGCTTAACTCAGCTTGCTTTCTATTACAAAATAACCCCAAAGGTTTCAAAATCTCACTTACATCTGGCATTTTAGTTTTTCTGAAGTTGTCATCCAAACTGCATTTTCCAGGACTTCCAACATAACTCAAGACGTGCATGTGTTTAATTTTGCATTGATATTAAAATCGACTGCATCAATCTGGTAGGTGTATGTGCGTCTTAATAGATCCCCACAAAGCCTTTCATATAAAGTACCACATGGAAAGTATTACATATGGGATGATTCACAAGGGAGTTGTTAAACCCGAGACAGCTATATAATGTTGCATACTAACTGTCAGTTTTAACATTATAAAGTACATAAGCCTACAAGAATAAGATGTGGGATGTAGTGGATCTTAATAGTTTTAAGAAAAAGTGAACATTGTCTACTAGTCTGTAACATAATTTTAAGATTTCATGAACAGTGTACTTACTGTGAATGTCCTGTAAGAACTGCAATTAAAAAAAAACCCTCATGAACCTTGCAGTGCATTACTTGATCATTCCTTGTACAATAACTACATTTAACAACTACTTGAGTTGATAAGTATTTCGATGAGACACATTTCCTCAGAAACCATCAAGATAAAATTCTGGGTTGACTAAAGTGTTTATCAGATCAACAGGGTTACAACCAAGGCAAAGTTTTGAGTTCTCCAAAACTCTTTTCCAGGCTTAGATAGTATAAAGCTTGGGGATGGAGTGGTGGGAAGCAACAAAGAATATCCAAGTCCTATCTGTAGATTAAAAACCTGTCCCTTGTTGTGGGTGAAATACACTGGACTCCGTGTGTTGTGACCCTTTCCTGGCATCAGTCACAGTAGGTCTGATAGATCTGTGGCTGCATCTCTCCGTGTCCCTGGCAAGTTGGCTGTTTCCTTAGATTCTGCTCATTTTATTACAAAATATATGTGGTCTTTCTATCATGGGTTGTTCAGCTGTATACATTATGACAACTACTTCTTAAAAAGCCACTGTTGGCTACCATTTGATTATGTTTGGAAATATATGCCACATTTTCTTCAATCTCCTTTATAAGTATAAAAAAGAATGGTTTGAAGTTTGAAATTGTGATCTAAGGCTGCTGCATTATTGTATATTGGCACAAAGGTTAGTCCATCAAAAATGTTTCCAGACACGTAACTTTGAGGCAATTTCTGGTTTGTTTGTTTTTCCAATTAGCTTAGATTTACATGGATGAAAAAGTTTTATGTTGTCATATTTCACCCAGAAATTTGTAGGTTTCTTGTTTTGTATATATTATAGTCTGGACTAGATTGAAGATGATTGGGGGTAACGCTTACAAACTTTTTTTTTTTTTGGAAAATGCTATTTTTCAGAAAGAACAGTGGTAATCTGAAAGTACTTGACTGACAGTTGCTGTTGAGTCAATATAATTGGGGTTGCTTTGACCATAACAGTCAGCTGCCACCCTGAACATAAGCTAGGCTCATTTTGGAAGCTGTGTTGGGCTGGACCTGGTTATTGTTTGGATGGGAGATTTCCAAGTGGTATTTGAATAGGTATCCCTGTTAGTTTATGCTAGCATCTCAGACAATTTTTTTCTTTTCTTTTTGCCTGAGATACAGGCGGAAGTGGCCTCCTCCAGGTAAGGCAGGTCAGAATCCTGCCAGAAATTCTGGGGAGCTGCTGCCATTCAGAGTTGAAGTAATAGGCTAGCTGGACTATAGGGCTGAGTCAATAGAGAAGCAGCATGTTGTGTCCTTATACACCAGTAAGTACCCTGTTTTCAATAGAGAAGCAGCATGTTGTGTCCTTACACAAAAAAAGACAGGGTCTTATATTACGTAATTTTGCTCCAAAAATGACTGGAGAAAAATTATTTGGGCATGTAAATAAATTTTGTAAACTTGTTGGATACAACAAAGAGCATTTGTAGTGATGCTAGTGAAAATGCATGAAAATGTGGAATTCACAATCATAAGGTGTAGGAACGGCTGCTGACTTGGAACAGTTTTACTACATCCTTCGATTAATGTATGGAAGATTTGGCTGTGAGTATCTAGTTGCCGGTCAGGATGCTTGTCTATTATGTCTTGTGCTGGGCACAATGTGTAGGTGTAGGAACGGCTGCTGACTTGGAACAGTTTTACTACATCCTTCGATTAATGTATGGAATGTTTTGGCTGTGAGTATCTAGTTGCCGGTCAGGATGCTTGTCTATTATGTCTTGTGCTGGACACAATGTGTCTCTGTATAGCAGTTGACGGAGAACCCAAATGGAAAGGTGTTGGTGTCCTGCTTTTGGGCTGTTTGAGGGTATCTAGCTGGCGACTCTGCAGGTAGAATGCTGGAATGGACAGGCTTTTTGTCTGATTCAGGAGGATGTTCATTTTCTTTTGTTATGAAAATAAGCAAAACACTGTATATTCAGACTCTACCTGCCACTCTCACAAGAAATGGAAAGAAGAATGTTTGTGCTAAGCATTGAGATGTAAACTGAAGATTTAAACAGTATATTGAGAGGTCAGTTTAACCTGGCCAAGTTGCACATGGGGCTTGTCAGATTTCTCAATCACTACAGCAAGGTGTAGAATTTACGTCCAAAGCTATACACATCAGAACACTATTTCCCCTTTAGGTTTGCACCAGTAGGGGGAGAGGTTGAAATACACATTGCGATTCACATCTCATTATGACAGAGGACTGTGTGGAACACAAGAGTTGCGGAAACTTGGCACCACGTTTTTAATAGTGTCCCCACCCCCCCCACCCCCCAGTGTCAGCTTGCATTTTACCCCATTTGTTGGCAGATCTTTATTAACTACCAGTTTACTAAGATTTTAAGACAGTGTACTAAGCAAAGCACTATCCTCTCTTATTATAAGGTCCCAAAGACCTATAATATAAGTATCATGCTATCTTTGTCTGTAATAAGTGATTTTAAAAAATAGAGTAAATAGAGATGAGATGAATAGAGCAATGGACTTTTTATATTGCCTGGTAATAGCTGAAAAAAACACTAAGGGAAGGAGATGATGGTACATACAGATTACGGGAGGAGAGTGTGACAGTTCATGGGCAGGTTTCTATCTTTTATTAAACAGTCTGTTCAGAGGAAAATTGTATGGCCAGGCAAATCAGTAACGCGTGGCTGTTGAACTGTACATGAGCCATTTGTGATGTTTGTCCTTCAACACGGCCTTTGTGTCTTAGATTTCTGCCTCTGAAATCTTGTTTGGCTACTATTTCAGTAACAGAAATGAAGTCCACCCTTTTCATCTGGTCCTTTGGTTGAATGACAAACAGAAGTCTGGTATATTTTAGCTGCTAAAAATGCATGGAAGAAATAAAACCGTACCTCTGTTTTCACAGTGGAAGTATTTGGTTCCCATATCTTTCATATTTGTTTATTAAAGTTATCTTTGTGTTTAAAATAGACTATAGCAAAGCGATGTCTCAGGCCGGTACTTCCCCGTTCCAGGAAGCAATTAGACAAGAACTGGAATATTCCATGAAAGTGGAACTGGACAAAATACTAGCAACAGCACCACAGAATGAGCTAGAGGTATGTATTAAAATTAGAAATACATTTATGAGCAGAGTGCTTTTTGTGTGACTAAGATTTTAAAAAACAAATTGGAAGTATGAGATTATGAATATTTTTGTGTTAAAAATCTAGAAAAGCATCTTTCGATTTGAAAATCTTTCTACTTTCTTGGAGCATAATAGAAGTTAACCAATCCCAGTCAAACCTACTGACTGAGACAACTTAATGGGCTTAGCTTCCAAATAAAAACTTTAATAAAACAATAAAATATAAAGCTTTTGACAGGAAAACATGGCCTGTCATCTTCAGGATACAAATGGCATACTACCTACAATGCATATGGTAATATACACTCAGTGTATCACATTGACTGTATATTACCGCACACAGTACTGTTTTATTAAAAGTTGTGCTTGGAAGCTAAACCCATTAAGTTGTTGCGGTCAGTTCAGTCAGTTTGACTGGGATTGGTAAACTTTTATCTTTGGATTTGTTAATCAAATGAATGAGTGGCAATAGAATTTAAAAGTTGGATTGTCTTTGGACCTGTGTTGTCCTTAAGCATGAGGTTAAGGACATAGAACTGTATGCAGTAGTAAAATGGCTTAGAAGATGTTTTCCACTTTGATCAGTGTAATTACAGGTTTTAGACCTAGATAGGAAATATTATTATACTATAACCATGTAATGGTGGAGCAAAAACATGTAGGTCAGTCAGTCAGTCAGTCAATCAATTATAAAAAATATTTTCTCCCAGCCACTCAATACTTATGTCCTGGCTCCAACAACACAAATGTTCATGCTTTGATATAATACTTCAGCAGGCATATTATAATGTCCCTGCATTTCCTCTGGAGATCTGGATTGAGTAACAGAGGGCAGGAAAGACCATTGTAAGTGCAATGCTATGGGTTTTTGAATGAGTGAGTTCATATGTATGCTGAAAATGGTTGATTGGCCGTGATAGCTTTCCCCTAATGGTTCGGGGAAGCTTATCAGTAGGTTTTCCAGTAAAAGATATATTAAAATTAATGACAATTGTAAAAAGACTGCCTTTCAGAGCAGTCTGCACAGATAATGGCAGTTTGAGTGGTTGGGCTCTGCTCTTTTTAAGAAAAGATGTCTACCTTCATTCTCTTTTCCTTTTCAGCACACTAAGAAAGACCTGGAAGGGTTTAAAAAGCTCTTTCATAGATTCTTACAAGAAAAAGGACCTTCTGTGGATTGGGGGAAGATCCAGAGACCTCCAGAAGATTCTGTAAGTTGTAACAACATGATACGGCTAATCTTCTTGGTAGAGGATCTTATTATCCTTGTGATTTTAACAGTTTCATTCAGCCAACTTTATGACATTCAGAATGAACAACATCCCTAAACAGCTGGAAAGAACTATGCCCTCAACAACCAGCAGCGTAGGAGAGGCAAGAAAGAACACTATGCATGGTGTTACGTGAACTCAGTATCCAAAAGGATACAACATTGTCTTTGTAATTTAGGAAGATCACACAGTCTCTACAGCTTGCCTCTGGGTGTTGGGTGTTGTTTAGTTGTTAAGTCGTGTCCGACTCTTTGTGGCCTCATGGACCAGAGCACACCAGGCCCTCCTGTCTTCCACTGCCTCCCGGAGTTGGGTCAAATTCATGTTGGTAGCTTCGGTGATACTGTCCAATCATCTCGTCCTCTGACATCCCCATCCCCTCTTGCCTTCACACTTTCCCAACATCAGGGTCTTTTCCAGAGAGTCTTCTCTTCTCAACAGATGGCCAAAGTATTGGAGCCTCAGCTTCAGGATCTGTCCTTCCAGTGAGCACTCAGGGTTGATTTCCTTCAAAATGGTTAGGTTTTTTTCTCTTTGCAGTCCAGGGGACTCTCAAGAGTCTCCTCCAGCACCACAGTTCAAAAGCATCAGTATTCTGGGGAGAGGGACCATGAGATGAGAGACAGAGAGAGAGACTACTGAGAAGAAGACCACACACCAATAAGTTTAGGTTAAGCACTATTCATGTAACATTTATTGATGAGACATAAGACTTACGACAGAATACCTTCTGAATACCAAGAGGCCTCTCTTTCATACTTCCCATTCACACAAGAAACTCACTCGTCCAGAAGGCCCTCCTCTGATGGGGGATCAGTCCTCAGAGAGGGGGATTGGAACAATAGTTGCAGCACTGTCGAAGCCCAGCTGTCTTTTCCTGGGTTATCCTTCTTATAGGTCTTTTCCTTTTGGGCTGTGCTAATGGGCTAAACCTGGCCTGCTGTCATGAGTGCAGCCGAAGATCTGGAACCTGAAGGGTTAACTGTAGCTGAGGAGAATGCTGAGCAATTAGAAATACAAACACCTGAATCGCTCCCAGATTCTCCTCCCCCACTAGATAGGCTGAGGGCCAGGCTTCAGGGAAGACTTATGACAAAAAGGTCAGAGGATCGTTTGAAGGCTGCCCGCAGAAACATCCGATCAACTAGCCCTGAGTTCTGACAGGATGAAGAGGCTTCCTGCAGTTCAAGGGCTGTTTTTACTATATAAGCAGCTCTCAGACGGCTGAAAGTCTGTGGAAGCAACAAGTCAAACCTCTGGCTTGCATCCACACTCCTGACAACCTTGAACCTTGTTCTCTGGACCCTCGGCTTTGGACTCTGACCCTTACGTTGTGTGAGTTGGCTTTGGTATTTGGTTATTGGCTCTGCGTTCCCTGAATTCCTGACATAGGACTGGCTTATTGGACTCTGCTGTTGTAACCCCTGGGAATGTGACACCTGCACAAGCACGTCAGGGGCACACCCTGGCTTCCTGGGCAGATACAATCTGTTGTCATGCAGCAATGCTTCCTTTATGTGTACAGTTTGTTCCATCTGCCACAGACTTGGCTTCAGCTAGCCTGCTTCCTCTTTTTTAAGCTTGCTTTCTCCAGTTTTAGTTATATTTGGACTTCTTGCTCCAGTTCGCTTCTCTCTTGTCTGGGCACAACAACTGCGAAACATCCAAACCTTTGCCCACACAGCAGTCTCTTATTAATAACAAAACTATCTCTGTCTGCAACTTGCATCTTCTTTTGAAGCTCTGTATTAGGCACACTATCCCATCTTCCCTTGCGATTTCTCCATATTCTTGTCAGGTCTGGGGTGCTGGTCTTTCTGGAACCCACACACACTGTCACACTCTGTCACTCATAACACAGGCCACACGTGCACATACACCTCTCAGTCTGGACTTTCTTTGATACTGACATGCATCTGCTTGGCCAGAGAGGAGGGGATGACACAGAAAACCCACATCTTCCATCTGAGAATGTGGGTGATAATTTAGTAAACTCACTAGGTTTAGCCCATTGGGGTCAGATTAAAGCCAAAATGATATTACCTAGGAGTTGCAGTCCTGCTCTGCTGATGTTGAGAGTCCATGTGCCTTATGTTTGTACTGGGGGTGGTGGTTCTATTTTTTTGGTATCCTTTTAATTCCATTGAAGTGAAGGATAGCTGTCAGATCTATTGCTATATACAAACTTCGAGATCTACTCAGTTTTCTCTGATACCTCAAAATAATAGGTGTGTGTAAACAACACGAGACTCATGGTAGTTTTAACCTCAAATGATTGGATGCTGACAGTAGCTCTTTCAATGTGGTTGGATAAAAATTTCCTTTGCAATTTGACAGAAAAGTGGTGAAGGAGAGGTTAAACAAAAGATTGGGGAAGGTGAAACTTCCTTGTTTCTCTGTTTCATTAACATAAAGCATTTATTTTTATAAGTCTCTCTATTAGGAATCAGTAAAATAATACAAAGATTTAAAAAGCCTCCTTTTATCTACCCCATTTCTTAAAACCCTTAAGTCCCAGGTGTTTTCTAACCCCTCTTCCTCCTTTTTTCTTTTGCTAAGCCTTACTGTTCACTCTAGTATCTCAAACCTGAGTATCCTTTAAGTTTACATAGCTACGGTTTCTGTAAAACACTGTACTCCTAAGAAATTACTATTAGAAGGAAATTACTCACCTGGAAGGCAGTGTGCCAGTCCTCCTTGGGCAAACTCACTTTGCTTTACTTTACCGAAGTGATGGCGTAGTTGCAGATTACGTAGGTTAATAAGATAAGCTTGGTTTGAGGAAAAAGTAGTTTCCTTCTTTCTTGGGTGCAGCAGGACGTATAGTAGATTTTATATGTTTACTTTTGGATTCATAGAAGAGTTGATGTCAGCTTTTAAAAACTGTCACTTTGTGGTGCAGTGGGATGGAATTTGTGTGGGTAATTGGCTAAGCCCTCTTTCTCCCATCTTTATATCCTCCTTCCTTATAAAATATTATAATAAATGCAACATTGTTACTTTTTTCAGTGATATTGTGATTCCATTTAAAATTCAAATATCGTATTTATCATACAGCAAACTTTTAACAAATGAAACAAAACAGCACAGCTGGAAAAAAATATCTTATTTATCATACAGCAAGCTTTTAACAAATGAAACAAAACAGCACGCCTGAAAAAGTTTGTTTTGCCTGGGGGTGGGGAAACTTTATGTGGCTGTACAGCAGCAGATCCTTTCACCAGGGTAGCAGAGAGAGGTATCTCTGTCTGTCTGGCTGTCAGTTTGTTGGTTGACTGAACACAGTTTAAAACTAACCAGAGTTTTCTGGGTAATGTGTGGTTTGTTTGGAATAGAAAATATAACAATCCAAGCATGAGTAAATGAAGCAGAAACTAAAGATAGAAGAATATAAGATACAAATAAAACCAACAGCAGACAATGAAGTATTAAATCGAATTGAAAAGGTAGCATAATAAATGGACAAAGGGATAGGCAGATGTAAACATTTTTTTTGTATTGTTGGACAAATAAAATCTTTACCTGTTAGTGAAAATACCACAATAACTTTTTGGGAAGGGTTTTCATACAGGGCATGCTACTACTAAAATGTCTCTTCTTTTAGAGCAGTGGGGAACCCAGGTGTTCTTGAAATGCAATTCCCAGAAGCCCTCGCCAACAGCTGTGCTGCCTGGGGTTTCTGGGAGTTTCAATTCAAGAACACTGGGGTTACTCAAGGTTGGGAAACCACTGTTTTAGAGTTACCTGCCCTGCCTCATTGAGCAGGGGAACCCAGAAGAAAGCCCCCAAATGATAACCTTAGAATCTGTAAAGATAATTATGGGAAGAAACAATTTTTAGGTAACCTGTCTCCAAGTTATTTAATGCTTTAAAACCAGAACTTTGAATTGAGCTTAGAAGCAGACTGCCAGCCTAGTGAAAGATAAGGCAGTGCTGACATAATAGATAACGTGTGTTCTAAGAATAAGATGTAAGAAAATGAGAAAATTAGGCTGTAAATTAAAACAAACATTTAATAGGTTACATTAATATGTGAATTAATAAAACATTACTAAAACATATTAACTTCAGGACATAAAATATAACTGGTAAATCTTAGGTCAAGGAATTTAAATGCTGTTGAACAGCATTTGCCCTTCTGTTACCCACCCACTGATTTTCTGCCACTGCAAAAGGGACCATTCTCTATGTAGTATTTGTCTAATATTGTTTCCTAGTGAAAATTAGGACCCTAGCATTCTTCTATAATAGGCTCATGCTGTATACTGCACAGCGACATAGACAGTAGGGTTTTAATTTTTTTATGTCACCTTGACTTCTGAGCTGTGAAGGCTTATTTATCTCTGAGTAAACAAAGTTTACTCAGAGATGAATACTGAAAAGAACTGATGCTTTTGAATTGTGGTGCTGGAGGAGACTCTTGAGACTCTTGACTGTAAGGAGAACAAACCTATCCATTCTAAAGGAAAAACTCTGAGTGCTCACTGGAAGGACAGATCCTGAAGCTGAGGCTCCAATACTTTGTCCATCTCATGAGAAGAGAAGACTCCCTGGAAAAGACCCTGATCTTGGGAAGGCGTGAAGGCAAAAGGAGAAGGGGACGACAGAGGACGAGAGGGTTGGACAGTGTCATCGAAGCAACCAACATGAATTTGACCCAACTCCAGGAGGCAGTGGAAGACAGGAGGGCCTGGCGTGCTCGGGTCCATGGGGTCACGAAGAGTCGGACACAACAACTAAATAACAACAACAAACTTTGTGTTGCTTTATGTGAGCAGCACCTTATATCATCTGTAAAATAATCACAGAAGTAGTATTTGTTTTCTTCATTTATCATTCTTGTAGCTTACCCATGCCAGCTCATGCAGCATGTAATTCCGTGAGAGAAATGTGTATGCCAAAAACCTGGAAAAGGGAGGTTGAAAAACTGCACTATGCAAGTGCAATTCAGAACTTTTGCAAAATCAAAATGATCATGGAAGGCTTTTATCAGAGGTTTGGGCCAAGGAAAATAAATCTATTGTTGAAATGTAGGAAAGCCTCTAATTTACTTGGGATCATGGTTGACAAGTTCTCAATAACTTAAATAACAAATAAAACAATAAAAAGGGCTTTTTTAGTTATGCCCGCAGCAAAAGGAAAAACAAGGAAATGGTAGGGTTGCTGCGTGGAGAAGATGGCCAACTACTAACAGAGGACAAGGAAAAAGCTAAACTTCTCAACACCTTCTTTGCCTCAGTTTTCTCCAAAAATGAAAATAGTGCTCAACCTGAGGGGCGAAGAACAGGTGATGTAGTGGGGGAAATGCAGCACAGAATAGGTAGAGAAGTACTGTAGTACAGGAATATCTGGCTACTCTAAATGAATTCAAGTTTCCAGGGCCAGGCGAATTACACCCAAGGATATTAAAAGAACTGGCAGAAGTAATTTCAGAACCATTGGCAATAATATTTGAGAATTCTTGGAGAACAGGAGAAGTCCCCACAGACTGGAGGAGGACATATGTTGTCCCTATCTTTAAAAAGGGAAAAAAGAAGACCCAAATAATTATTGCCCAGTCACCCTGACATCAATTACTGGAAAAATTCTAGAGCAAATCATTAAACAGAAAGTTTGTTATTACTTAGAAAGCAATGCTGTCATCACTAAAAGTCAACACTGGTTTCTCCAAAACAAGTCCTGCCAGAGTAATCTGTTCTCTTTTTAAAAATAGAGTTACGGGCTTGATAGATGAAGGGAACGCTGTGGATGTACCATATCTTGATTTCAGTAAGGCTTTTGACAAAGTTCCCATGATATTCTTGCAAGGAAGCTAGTTAAATGTGGGCTAGACAGTGCTACTATTCAGTGGATTTGTAATTGGTTGACTGGCCAAACCCAAAGGATGCTCACCAATGGCTTTTCTTCATCCTGGAGAAAGCTAACTAGTGGGGTGCCTCAGGGTTCTGTTCTGTTATTCAACAGAATACAGTATGTATTTTATCAGTGACATGGATGAAGGAATAGGGACTCTGCTGATAAATTTTGCAGGTGATAGCAAATTGGGAGGGGTTGCTAATTCCCCAGAGGACAGGATTAAAATTCAAAATGACCTTGACAGATTAGAGTCCTGGGGCAAAATTAACAAAATGAATTTCAACAGGGAGAAATGTAAGGTCGTACACCTAGGCAGAAAAAAAAATGAACTGCACAGATATAGGATGGAAGACATCTGGCTAGACTACAGTCCCTGTGAAACGGTTCTAGGAATCTTGGTAGACCACAAACTCAACATGAGTCAGCAGTGTGATGCGGCTGCCAAGAAAGCAAAGGAGGCCAGGAGGAAAAGAAAGGAAAACGGGCCTTCTCGGTGGTTGTCCCCTGCCTATGGAACAACCTGCCTATTGAGATCTGCCTGGCACCCTCACTAGGTGGGTTCAGAAGAGCACTGAAGACCTGGCTCTTCCGCCAGGCTTTCCCGGAGCACTAGGATCTCGCCCTCCCTTTTTACCATTCTTTTTTGCCATTGTCACCCTTTTAACCACCTTTATTGCCGTCTGTTTTAAAAACACTATAACAATAAATTAATACATTAGTGTTTTTAATATTATTCCTTATATTGTTGTTAGCCACCCAGAGTGGCCTGGTTGCTAGATGGTGTGGGATATAAATTCAAATAATAAATAAATGCAATTCTTGGTTGCATCAATAGGAGTATATAGTGTCTAGATCAAGGGAAGTGATAGTACCACTCTATTCTGCTTTGGTCAGACCTCACCTGGAGTACTATGTCCAGTTCTGGGCACTTCAGTTCAAGAAGGATGTTGACAACCTGGAACTTGTCCAGAGGAGGGTGACCAAAATGGTCAAAGGTCTGGAAGCCATGTCCTGTGAGGAGTGGCTTAGGGAGCTGGGAATGTTTAGCCTTATAAAAAGAAGGTTCAGAGGGGACGTGATAGCCATGTTTAAATATTTGAAGGGATTTTATGTCGAGGAAGGGACAGGTTTGTTTTCCAGGGCTCCAGACACTAAGACAAGGAGCAATGGTTTCAAACTACAGGAAAAGAGATTCCATCTGAATCTCAGGAAGAACCTCCTGACAGTCAGAGCTGGTTGGCAGTGGAATCTGCTGCCTCAGAGTGTGATGGAGTCTCCTTCTCTGGAGGTTTTTAAGCAGAGGCTGAATGGCCGTCTTGTCGGGAGTGCTTTGATTAAGTTCCTGCATGGCAGGGGGTTGGACTCAATGGCCCCTGTGGTCTCTTCTAACTCTATGATTCTATGAAATATGAAATTACTACAAGGAGTGAAATTGTTAAAATCTACCCAAAATTAATGTCATTTCTATCCAGGGAACACTCTTTTTTGACATTACTTTTCCAGGTAATGATAAACACATGGTTTATTTAGGAAAGTTGTAAAAATGGAAAATGAAATACTTGAAGAATACATAATCTTTGTGGAGAGATGTTCAAAGCACATTGTTTCCATTTTAAAATACAGTAAGATGTTAAATAAAAATGCAGTCCTATATGTTTTCTCAAAAGTCCCATATCTAGCTAAGGCAATAGTTCTGCACATAATATAGTACATAATTTATTAGGTGTAAGTCATTGAATTCATTTGACATACCTTTAAGTAAACATAGGTTGGATTGTGCTGTTATCAGTGTGGGCTTGTTTGATGCTAACAAACCTAACATGCAGTTAGCAGTATCTTCAGTTTAGAACTCCTTCCAAAATTAATCTATTTCAAGAAGTATCAGTGTAAACATGTACCTTTTATGTGATTAAATCATAGATCTTAACTTAAATTTGTATTATTTCTTGTGTGTGTGTGAATAAGATGTGGGGATTAGTGGTAAGCTTGAGAAGTGGAGAAAGAAGTCAACAGTCAATGAATCGTGTTTTTTTTTTTAAAATTCAGATACAACCCTATGAGAAGATAAAAGCTAGAGGATTACCTGATAACATAGCTTCTGTTTTAAACAAGCTAGTTGTGGTGAAACTCAATGGTGGCTTGGGTACCAGTATGGGATGTAAAGGCCCCAAAAGCCTTATTGGTGTGCGGAATGAGAATACCTTCCTGGATCTGACTGTTCAGCAAATTGAGGTAAGTAATCAGTCTCTCTCTCTGTGTGTGCATGTGTGTGTAAGGGGGGACAGTTTGCAGGTTTCCAGAGACAAAAACCATATATTAAAATGCTAGTGAAAATGAAATATGATTTTGCTCTTTGCTCAGAGCAGAGCCACCTGAATTGCAGTACTGAAAGTTTTACTTAGTTCTGCTGACTGTTTCAAGGAGTGTGGCAATCACCCAGTGTTGTTGGTTTTGTGTGTGTGTGTGTGTGTGTTTTTTTTTTTTTTGCAAACAACAGGTACTGCTGAAATATAATCTGAAGCAAATTCGGATGCTCCTCCTCCAGTGAAATTGCACAAGTTCTGTATATAAAATAACTTTTTTTTCTTTCTTGGTTTCTCTGCTCTGCAAACTATGTAAAAATCTTATTTAAAACATTTTCACTTGGCTCTACAGCCAGAATGTCTGTTGGAGGGACTTGTATACATTTTATGAAACACGATAGTCCCTCCCCCACAGTCTCCAAACTAAAGCAAAAGAAAATAAGGGAGGATAAGTGAAGAGTTAAAAAATAATGGAGATCCAATTCAAGCACCAGTTCTTAAATGAAAATATTTCAGAGAAAGGAGAGCAGTCAGTTGGATCCTGGTTTTTTTGGGGCACAGCTGATGGAATTACTGTGATACCCATCTTCCTTTGCTACAGTTTAGTGGTACTGTGTGTTCTGTTTATACGATATTTCCATATATGTCAAAGATGACATGGATCCATTTCCCTTTTTAAAATCCATTTATGGTGCCAACTATACTAATTCCATTATTTTCTTTCTAATATTGGTCCCTGTACAGTATAATCAGCATATCTGTTTCAAGGTGTTTCTCTGAAAGAAACTTCATGCCTTTAGAAGGGTCTCTCTAATAACACATCAAAAGTTGAAAAAACTGCATTAAAGCTAAACGATATTTATCTTTAGAAGTAGTTGCCAACAGCAAATAATTTTTTTATTAGTTTTAAAAAGCCCAAGAGATGGCTAAGTCAGTGAACACCCCCAAAAGGATAGTATTTCTTCTAGATTCAAGTTCAGATTGCTGGAAGATTAACAAGGATAAACCCCAGGGCTTAGGTCTGATCATCCCTTTGGCATTGTTATTGAAAGAACAGCTATAAAAAATTATATTTTGCAATGGTCTTCTGGAAACATCTATTTTGAGGATATAATGGCTGAAATCGAGTAGTTAGTCATGCTAGAGTAGGATTTGGTGAAACAACTCCTTTGTAAGTCATATTGATTCAAAGGGTCTACTGTAGTTGTGACTTACTATGGATTTCAGCCACTGATTATTGTATGAATAAAGGTAAAGGTTCCCCTTGACAATTTTTGTCCAGTCGTGTTCGACTCTAGGGGGCGCTGCTCATCCCCGTTTCCAAGCCATAGAGCCAGCGTTTGTCCGAAGACAATCTTCCATGGTCACATAGCCAGTGCGACTTAGACACGGAATGCTGTTACCTTCCCACCGAAGTGGTCCCTATTTAGCTACTTGCATTTGCATGCTTTCGAACCGCTAGGTTGGCAGGAGCTGGGACAAGCGACGGGCGCTCACTCCGTCGCGTGGATTCGATCTTACGACTGCTTGGTCTTCTGAGCCTGCAGCACAGGCTTCTGCAGTTTAGCCCACAGCGCCACCACGTCCCTATTGTATGAATAGTGTGGTCTAAAAGAACATTTGGAGCAAATAAATGCTCCTGCTGTTCTTCCTTTAAACAAAAAGTACTTCCAAGGGCGGTTTGAGAATTTTTTTCTGCTGAGGCTGCTCCACCTTCTCTGTTAATTTTGGAATTCAAGCTAGCAATTCAAAAACAAATAGAACAATTGGTGTTAGAAAAGAGAGATGAATTGAACCCTGTTTTGAAAAGGTAATATATTATGATAAAACTACTAGACCCAATGACCTCCATTAGTGAACTGCGAATATACTATTTATATCAAAAAAGCAAGTTCAGTGAAGCTTAGAACGAAGAAGGGTTTTTAAGTACGGAAATAGTAGCCCTTTTTTCTGCCTCTCCAAAACCAGTGAAGACCTACTTGTTAAGGAAGTAGCACAAATGCTGCCCTTTTTTGCTTTGCTGGTTTGTGGGCAGCTCCTACATGAAGTTGTCTTCAGCCAATAAGCAGACTTGCAGAATCACATCCTTATGTCTACAAATCATTGGAAAATAGATTGCGGACTAAGCTGTCATTTGATTATGTTGTAGAATAACAACTGGTAAGATTTTTTAAAAGTAGTGGCTAGATTCCCTGTCTAGTTTGTTTGGAAATTTAATATTTCAGAGAAGTTTGTAATGAAGGCATTAAGCAAACAGTTTGGAACTGGTGAACAATGCAAAATAATTACTAATGCAAAGGAACAGAATAATTTTAAGTACATAATAGCTTTTGAGAAGGATATTTTGAAGAATTTTTGTTTAGAAAAAAAAATATCAGGATGAATTTTAAACAAACAGTAGAGCTGCTTTCATTTGTTATTTGCATGAAGGGGATCCATAGAGTGAACAGACAGTGGGGCTGAGTTCCTGACTCTACTCTCCAGCTGTATGGATTGAGCAGAGTCTTGAAAGGAGAGCAACAGGGTTTAATATATTTGGAGAAGCTTTACATCCAGCCTGGGGTCCTCTTTGATTCAGGCTTCTTGACTGTGTGGAAGAACTTCCACAAAAACAGCTCCCCTTTCAGAACTTTGATCATTGCATGGAGGTCCTGGGATAGAGTCGTCAGTTGGAGGAACACAGGAGTGTCAGATTGTCTGACGAGTATAAGCAAGCAAGCAATCAAATCCAAATGAAACCACAGGGTTGCCAAAGTATAACAAAGGCACCAGGTTGTTACCTGTTGTCATGGGGGAAAGCGGTGCTTGTTGTGTGGGACTGCTTTATTTAGGAAAAATAGGTAGTTCAAAACATTGCACCAAGATTGTTGACTGGTTCTAATGCAAACCTGCCCTAATTTCCAAGATTTTCATTGGAGGCCCTGATCTCAGTGCTGTACCTTAGCAAATCAGGTAGCTGGCATTTAGTCAGTGCCTTCCATGATGATCTTTTAAGTGTCAGATTAAAATGTTTAATCAGAGAATCTAAATGATTAGGCCAAGATCCTCATTGTTATCTGGGGAGGTGTCATCATGCCAGGTGTGGAGAGGGAAAATTGAGGCAGCCAGTCAGTACACATCTGGTGGTGGCTGGTGAAGAGTTTTGACTTGTGCTTAGGCCCCTAATAAATATGACCAGCAAGCCTAGAAGCTTTTTTTGGCTGTTGTGGCACTGGAGGGAACTGCTCACACAAAGAGACATTGAGTAAAGGATACAGACAGTTAGATGTAAGGTGAAAAAAGGGAAATGGGGAAAAATTTGGAAAATTAGTAGTGTTTACTTCAATGCATTTCTTACAGCATCTCAACAAAACCTACAATACAGATGTTCCTTTGGTGCTAATGAACTCCTTCAACACTGATGAAGACACCAAAAAAATCTTGCAAAAATACAGCCACAGTCGTGTGAAAATCTACACTTTTAATCAAAGCAGGTATTGGCATTACTCTGACTTTAGTCGTAAAACCTGTGTTGTTCAGTGTGTTTATGGAATCACTCTAGTCTTAGACCATGAGTGGTAAAATAGTATGGGTCTGAATGGAAGCTATACAGACACATTTGTTTGCTTGCATATTTATGAAGTTTTAAAAGATCTCATCAAAATAGAGAAAAGTTGGAACTGTATAGAAACAATCAGGATAAATAAATCAACAAATATGGAGTATATGTGTGTCAGTGGGGCTAGAGGTTTCAAAGCAGTGATCATCTTGATCAGATGGCGCAGGCAGAAGGGCAATGTATCCTGAATACTGTGCTATGGTCTCCTATATTTGGAAGGGATGCAGATGAGTTGAAAGCAAAGTTGGAATTACCTGTTCTGCTAAATTAAACTATTTGAGATGTGAAATGCTTGAGCAAGGGTGAAAGAATAAGAAAGGCAATTCTATATACTTACTGGGCTTCATTACCTCCCATTTGGGGGATCTGAAGCAAGTATTAAGGTTATTCTCTTTCATTCCTTTGTTTGGATTTCTGAGATATTTGGAGTGCCTGGGACTGGTTCTCACGGTATAACTGGAGGTTTTGAAGGATCGAGCTTCCACAGAAATAAACAAACTTTAGAGAAGCCTGACATTATTTCTGTTCATTTTAAATTTGCCATTTGAAATTAAATGAATCAGGTCTAAATTACATCAAATCTCTGAGAGTGCAGTTTCCAAAAACATGTTATGAATGATGTTTGAAGTCCTATTCTAGCTCTTAAGATATTTCACTGTAAGCACTCTGTCCCTATATCTTCACTTCCTGGTAACTTCAAAAATGTATTATTTTGCAGGTATCCACGAATTAATAAGGAGTCTTTACTACCAATAGCAAAAGATGTGTCTTACTCGGGAGAGAATACAGAGGCTTGGTATCCCCCAGGCCATGGGGATATCTACGCAAGTTTTTATAATTCTGGATTGCTGGATAATTTTATTACTGAGGGGAAGGAGTACATTTTTGTGTCTAACATAGATAATCTTGGTGCCACTGTTGATCTCTACATTCTTAACCATCTCATGAATTCACCAAATGGAAAACGCTGTGAATTTGTTATGGAGGTCACCAACAAAACAAGGGCAGATGTTAAGGTAACAATTTTTTTTTCTCCCTATCTCCTTTTCAGTCTACAAAACTCCAAATCACTCTCGTGGTCTTCAGTGCACAGTTGCAGAGAAAGAAAAACATCATTTCAAAGTGGGAGAGTCTTTCCTTCTTTCTTTTCCTTTCCTTCTCTCCCTCCCTCTATCCCTCCCTTTCCTCCTTTTCTGTCAGAAGCACCACAGTATAATTAATAAATATATCAGATAATTTTTGCCCAGTAACAGGCAACATCGAGAGCACTTGGGGCAGCTGTCACCAAGTCTTCCATAGTGCATGTTGCGGGGCATATAGTCCACTGACAAGAGGTGTGAAGATGCATGTTCTTGTCTACACTCACAAATAGTGGAGCCAGTGCAAAATCCCCATTTTTTTAGGTTCACCTGTGTTCTGCCAACTTCTCTTTCTGTTAAGGTGACTTTCTAGTAACCCCATTCTCCATGTGACCGGGGGCTGGACTTTTTGAGGGTTAAGAGGTGGGTAGTTCTCTGCTTCCACTTTCAGAGTATTGGGATTCTTTGCTGTTCTTTCAGGATTCACAGTTCAGAAAAATATTTCCTTGATTTTAATCTGGGAGAGGCGAGATAGTAGTTGAAGAGAGAATACACATTTTACTGTTTACTGCTACCTCAGTCCATATGTCACTGCTCGGTAGCTGGTAGTATCAACAGGGGATTAAATTCAAACATCCTGATGGCTGTGCAATTCTGATGTAAGGTGGCTTACTCTTTTTTTTTATCTGAGTAGAGAAAGAGAGAAGGTTGCACTGGTACTCTGCTTTGTTTTAGAACTTTCTACGTTTAGTATTTTATGTTGTTGGGATATCAGCTGCATCTTCAGAACCCTTCCGGGGCATACATCTGTTGGAATTCTAAATATTTACTACTGAAGTCATAATTTGGGTAGGGATTCTCTTGACTCCACCTTACAACTTTTCATTAAATTGTTTACTTTGTATGTTTAGCTGGACAGAATCTATAGGCTTTCAGTTTGCTTTTGCAATTACGTAATTTGATTTCACTTAGATTTGCTCTGTTTTTCCAGGGTGGTACGCTCACACAATATGAAAACAAACTGAGACTGGTAGAAATAGCTCAGGTGCCAAAACCACATGTTGATGAATTCAAGTCTGTTTCAAAATTCAAAATATTCAACACAAACAATCTATGGATTTCATTATCTGCAATTAAGCGGCTACAGGAGCAAAATGCTATTGATATGGAAATTATTGTCAATCCAAAGGTAAGACACTGAAGCTTGAAGAATCAAATACAAAAACAAAACAAAAAGGTGCACTACCCCTGAAAAGCTAGCAGAAAATTTAGAAATTGGGAGTATACTGTTAAACATGCCTTCTTCAGATAAACAGTGGAAGAATATTTCAAGAAATAGTTCTATTTCTGTCTTATCTTCATAAGTGTTTTTTTTTTAAAAAATTCTAGAAGTATATCAAGATTAAACTTGAACATTCAGTTTTCTGTTGACTTTTAAAATATATTGGTAACCAATATATTTTGGTTTCTAGGAAGAGAGCTTTTCTCTATAACTTCATGTTACATGTAAAAGGATGTTTGCTGTTTTTTAAGATTTTTAATTACATTTATACTGAAACAGTATTAAGTAAGAAGTGCTCAGTTTTGGTTACGTGGATCAATTAGTTCTCATCACTGGTTCCCCAATAAGCATCATCTTTTCATAGTGTGCTGTTTGGAGAAGCAAATAAATGTACAGTATCTTTAAAATTATTTATAGAATGCAGTTCTAGATTTTCCACTTCCATTTGCATCCATTTTTTTGTGTAGTCTAAAAACTAGGGGTACTTGGAGAACAGAGTACCTCTTTGGAAGCTGTAGTTTCCATGAAAGAGATTAATAATATGGTGTTCTGCTTTATTTTACAGTATAATTGTGGGCTCATTTGGTAATACTGATGAAATTGCTGAAAATTACTTCTTCCAGGTTGGTGGGTGGTAGAGATGGTTTTAAATAAAGTGGGTAGAACATGGTTAGCAAATATGAAGTTGAACAGCTCTGTGGATGGAGTGCTTTGCATTTGCTTTGGAAGTCTTAGACTTGCAGTTGCTCAAACTGAAAATGCTCTATTGAAAGTAACAAGGCTTTCTCTCTCTGCAGAGGGGGGGAGAGTGGACTGGATCATGCCTATAATCAATCCATAGGTGCTCATTAGCATGTATTTGAAAAGAATTGTTATGTTTGTCAGATTATGGCTTAGTAAGTTCCATGTTTCATAAGAATAAACATTTTCCTTTAATGCTTGGCAAATGCAAGGGATCTGAAATCACTCTGAATTTTTAACTTGTAAAGCCTGTTTGGCTTGCTGTACCAGTCTGGCCTCTGAGAATCAACAGCATAACTTTATTGATGAAATTTTCTCTTCCAGACTTTAGATGGTGGTTTAAATGTTATTCAGCTGGAGACTGCTGTTGGTGCTGCTATTAAAAGTTTTGAGAATTCTTTGGGAATAAATGTGCCCCGTAGTCGTTTCCTGCCTGTGAAGACCACATCTGATCTTCTACTTGTGATGTCTAACCTATATAGCCTCAATGCTGGATCTTTAACAATGAGTGAGAAAAGGGAATTTCCTACAGTGCCACTGGTCAAACTGGGAAGCTCTTTCACCAAGGTAAGCATAGTAGGGTAGCCTTCTGTAAAAAGACTAGAGAATTTTTTTTGCTCTCCAGCCTATAAGCCATGTAACTTGGTTCTACAGATAATTGTTAATGACTGATCAGTAGCCAGCCTGGTAGTGTCCTGGAATGCTCTTCTGAAAGTAAATGAGACCATTCAGAAATGTTAGGACTACGATGTTACGATCGTGCTTATGGTGCCCATTCCTTCTCCTTTTCACCTGGGCCAGGCGAGACACGGGTGCACTTCGTATCCGGTTTATCTGACTGGGGAGATTTTGTGTAGGACTGCAGTAACAACACACACACACAAAATTGCGCTCAGTGGGTTAAATCCAGTATGGAAATTGTGGGCCCTTCACACCTTCTGGGAACCTGCTCAGGTTTTCTCAACTGTTCTCACCTGGTTTTGTGGGGTGCAGGGTGAGCTTGAATCGGAAGGGATTGCTTTTCTAGTTTCTGCTGGGATTTTGCTGTTTCTCAAGCAGAGGTCCTCTGCTAGCAAAAACAAAACAATAACCCCGTATCTTGAATCTGAGCTTTATTGTACTGCTTTATCCTTCTAGTTGCACACCAGCATGAAAACCTATGTTCAAAGGCCTGTTGATAAATGGTGATTGCTTTATGGCTAGTTTCCATTAAGAAACTGGGATATTTTTCTATTAATTTGTATTTTTTCACATGTATTGATTTGTATTTTTTTCACTTCCCTCCATTCTCTGGAGGAAAGAAGGAAATAAGATGGGTGTGTGTGTGTGTGTGTGTGTGTAAGATTTGCAAAAATATACCCATGATCAGTGAAGTTTATGATTCTGCAGCAAAATCATTGCCAGGGCTGCCCTTTGTAGATCCTGTGCCACATAATGGTAATGTTGTCTCATCAATTGATTTTCTCTCTTGCTTGAAGAATGACTCTTATATTGGAACTAGATATGTATAAATTGAATAAATTGGTTTGTAGATTTGGTCCCCCAAATTCCATGGGTAGAGGCAATGTTCCTGACCTTTTCCTTCACATCAGATGTTTGTGTAGACAACATGCTGTGGCTGCTATTGTAGGAGAAATGAACTTACACTATTTTTGTTCTATCAATCCTTGCTATGGCATTTGACAGTGGATGCTAACACTGTATTCAATTTTTTTTATCTTAAAACACTTCACGTGATCTTGATCTACTTGGCATATTTGTTCATACATCCCTGTGTTAGCTCACATCAGTCAGAATGCTTCCATGTGCTCTGGCTTGCTGGTAGCAATAGAGATCTTTCTAAGTAACCTTTAAAGGATATCCTGCCTTCATAAAGAGTACACTCCTGCTATTTTATTAGTTCATTACAGTTTCCCAAGCGTTTAGTACTTAATCTTTTATATCATACTGGGGTAAATAAAAATTTAATTGAACATAATTGTTTGTGGTTGGATAACATCAGGAAAAGATGGAACATTTACATGTCTTGATAAAGAACAAACACACTTGTAGGCTGTATTTTATTTTAAAATTAAGTAGTGGTGAACAGTAGTATACTATACACCATGGGTGGGCTTGATATCCAGCATCTTTCAAGAGTGAAGAACATGTGTTTGCCATTAGTCTTACATTCATTTCCAAAATTAATAACCTGTCCTCAGTTTGGGGTCTGCAGTGTAGCCTTTGTATTGTGACAAATTTCTAAACAGATACTTGAGGATAACACAATGGACCTAGCGTCTCACACTCCTGTTTGCTTTTCAAAAGGTTCAAGATTACCTAAGGAGGTTTGAAAGTATCCCGGATATGCTTGAACTGGATCATCTTACTGTTTCAGGGGATGTCACATTTGGCAAAAATGTTGCATTAAAGGTTGGTGATTGGATTCTATATACACATTTGGGGTTTGTGTGTCTTAATAAAATACTGAACATGTTACACTTATTAAATGTTCTTATACAAAATGTATCTCTTTGTCTTCTGGTTATCAATTGGAATTTTTTTTTTTGAGCTAGCATCAATTTCTGATGGGGATTCAAGAAACCATTTACATTTAGAAATAATTTTTAATGTCAAAATGGCTCCAGTTTTATAAGTAGATTTTATTAATTGCACTCAAAAAAACAAAAAACAAATGTGTTCTCTGATATTCTTCACTAGGCTGTCAAGAAACTGATGAAAACAAGAAGAAACAAAATAATAATAATAATAAATGCTAAGTAGGACTTCCCTGCCCAGACATTACAAAGAATAAATCACATTTGCAAGTTTATAGTATGAAAGCTTTAGCAACTGGATGGATGAAGATAAAACTAACTTGGAGCAGAATCAACCTCCTAGGGCAAAATTTACTCTATGAGTCAAATGGGCTGCTGCAGTGGTTTATACTGTTTGTGTTGACGAACAAGAATCAACTGATTGCTCTTGGAAATTGTATAGTTACAGAAATGAAACTGATGAAACAGTTGAAGTGCCAAGTTCTTTTCTCTGCCCTCTTTTTAAAAGTGGCTGGAGACAAAATGGTTAGCGGTTACCATCCAGTTAATTCGGGAATGATGGATGAGAACCTGAGGAGGTTAGGTTTTCTTTATGTTCACTTTACTGCTGGAAACCACTCAGAGCAGTGGCAAGGCCACTAGATGGTGCAATATAAACTTACAATAAATGAATAAATAAATATAAATAAGTTAAACAGCCTAGGAAAACTGACTTCCACAATTTCTAAGGAATTTATGGAGTATTAAGTAGTTCACATTTGCTTAAAAGTCTTTAAAATATTTCAAACAGATTTAAATATTACTGTTACCCAAGATAAAGATAAATACTATATCATAAAAGGCATTTTGTGTAATAACTGAAAGGAAGATTCTGCCATGGAAACATTAATGAAAGCCATTACAAGTGTATGTTTCCTGGCATGTCTACCTGAGGTAAGACTCATCGTATCCCTCAGATTTAGTATTTTTGATGATACAAAGAGGATTTTCACTGGTGGAAAAAAATGACAGAGTGGTACTTATTCTACTTGATCAGACTCTAATGCAGTATTAACAGCAGAATTGGACAATCATCATTTACATTAGCCGTTTTGTATGATTGGAATATTTCATAAACTTTTGTATGAAATTCACACCCTCAAATGCTTGTACTATTTTGAAAGGATGTGCTTATGTTCTCCATTTTTAATCATCCTTTAGATGCTGTACATCTGTAAGATAGGAGATAAATTTAAGTGATATGACCATACTTTCCCTAAGTTGAGACCATGTTACTTTTTAGAAAGATAATTTATCTTCAGCTTCTGAGGCTGATTGTACCCTCTTTTCCTACACAGGAGCGCTCCTTAAGATTCTAACTTCCAGCCTTCTTATATGGTTTACGGATGGATTCCATCTCCCTGATAATTATGCATTCTCTGTATTTAAAAAGGTCCGGGTGATTTGGGGGTGTTAGCAAACCATTACTTTCAAAATATTATTCCTTAATTCTTAATGGATCCCTACTACTTTGCGTGTTTTTAAACACTAATTAGTATCTGGCTGTGCTACTAGTTAGAAATAGTACTGACACTATTCTCTCAAATGATATGTTATTTAGCTACAGTATATCACTGGAGACGTAAGGGGGGGAGTGGACTGCTATCCTGGTTCCATTTCCCTCAGAAGATGAAATGCCACACCTAGATTTTTCCCTCTAGGACAAACTCAGTAGTAATAATGGCAAAAATTGATTTTCTTTCTTTCTTTGGCTCCTTTGTAATTCCCTTAGGCATGAATAAAAAACTAACACAGGAAGTGAATTTAACCACCTGCTAGCAGTCAGTGGCTGAAATCCTGTTTCATAAGTTATGCTGCAGAAGGATGATAGCCACAGTGGAAATGAAACATTTCCATTTTCCCCCTTGAAGGTCCCAAGTCTCCCGGTTTATTGTCAAGAAGCCACTGGGACTGCATGATGGAAAGAGGCAGTTTTTAATTACAAAAGATTGCTGCCATGGCAGAGCGATCAGGTTCCCCGTAAGACTAGTTTATTCACAAAATAAAACAGATAGTATTGTTCATAAGAATAGTATTTTCTATAAGAAATTGCGTCAGGACACTACCATTATAAGGCCAAATCAGGACACCAAAAATGTGAAAACATTTCATCAGGGAATATGTAACAAAGGTTTCGGGAAATTGAAGAGGCTGAGTTGATGTTGAAATGGCACAGACTGCATGATTAGACACAAGTGTTAAGACAAAACAAGAAAATAAGGGCCTTTAGCATTTATTCCAGCCATTATAGGCACTTTAGGCTTTCTGGTAAGAAACTGCTCTGCTGCTGTACTCTGTTTTTGAATCTCCCTTGCATTTATCACCAGCAAACATGACTTGCACTCAAGATTGTAACATATCATTCTAACGCTTCACAGTAAAATGAGTTTTATATTAGGTTAGTTTTTAGGTGTGGCATAACCAGCAGTCTCCCAGGCACAGTCCTGCTTCTTTCAGTTTGGGTGCAATAAAGATTTTATCTGCATCCAAAGGGTAATTAAAAAAAATCTTAGCAATGCTACCCCCCCTTCTTACGTCCTGAGTAAGACAGATCATAAATTCCTTCTTTGCTGTTCTCTTTTTGGGTGGGGTAGATATGCTGCTACCTAATCCAATTCAATTCAAGTGAGAAACATTGGATTTCCCTTTTTTAAAGACAAAAAGATGGTCAGAAAATACATTAGGAAGAGGAAAAAAAAAACACCCTGGGAAGAAGCTGAATTGCCTGTTCTGTACCAATTCTGTATGAAATGTTTTGGAATATTTAAAATGTATCAAACCAGAGTTTGTTTTTAAATAGAAGTAAACTCCGATGCCAGGATTCATTCAGATCAGTAAAATACTACGTTTATCTTTAAAACTATCACTTTTTTCTTCAATTTTAAGGGAACAGTCATCATTATAGCAAACCATGGTGACAGGATCGATATCCCACCAGGAGCAGTTCTGGAAAACAAAATTGTCTCTGGTAATCTTCGGATCCTGGACCACTAAGATGATGTGAACGGATACAGTTGCTGCTGGTAATCTACTGGAATGGTTTCAGAAATGGAAGAATTCCATAGGCATTAGATTTGTACACAAAAGCTCTATATAGTTAGCTATCTACTCACTGTACCTACAGTATTATTTCTAAATAATTTTTCTGTCCTTTCTTCTAATTGAAAGAATATTTAAGGAGGTAGAAATCCTTAAATGACTATATAATTCAGTTAATAAAATCTGAAGTGCAATATTGTTTGTCTTAAAAAAAGACAGGCAGCTTTTGTGTAAGATGTTCAACAGGCTAATCTAATGTTCAGTCAATTTTGAATTGCTTATAATTAAAAAAAGCTGTGAAGCAATACACTGTTAACTATTAAATGCAAAAATGTGATGAAATGTAACACCCACCCATGCTAGACACCCAGATGTTTTGCTACTAAGACATGTTCAAAATGGAACATTCTTTGCCTTCCTCCCTCCCTCTTCACAGACGGTTCAATATCTCACATCTGTTTTGCTTCTTAAAAGCTGCAGTTGTTGTGCTCTTGTGTTTGACAGAAACGCCAGGAACAAAACATCTGAATGGTTACTTTTGTCACCATCATGTAGCATCACTCTTAAGCTGCTGAGAATTGCATTCTACTTTTAAATGCAGAACAGGTTACCTCTTCAGTGTACTCATGTTTGTACAGTTAAAATTGTGCATTAATACTGATGTGGCAACAAATTTCACATGTGTACAGGTACTGAAATAAAAGAATATGAAGCCCCCGTTCTTGATATTTGAGCTTGTTATTGGTTTTAAAGCCCAGTTTTGTTGTGTTATCTTATAATTAAAGAAGTTGGTCTCTTAAACAGCTCATTTTTACAGTTTTATTTTGACAATGACTTCTGCTTGTGATAACAAGATAGGCATGCCTGTTTGAAGAAACCATAGGCACACAAAACATGGTAGACTGTATCATTGTACATCATCATCATCACGAGAGTAGGCACTCACTGGGTTTAGGTAAAAATGCTGTGAGGTGAAATACACAGGCACTTCATTACTTATTACAGGCAGGTACCAGCCTGAAAGATAGCATTAATTTTTTAAAAGTTAGTCATACCTCCTCTACTGCTGCTCTTATGAATGTAGTTCAACTTAAATAACTATTGGGATAGGGAAGATGGTAAGGGATACATAGAAACTGTCAGATTTATTGTCCTTAGAGGGGGGTTCTTATATGATCAAAGGTTAAAATTGCTCAGCTGAGTCTAAATAAGCAGAACTGTTTTTTCAGCTTGCTCTTTAAAAAAATAGAGGGGGCAAGCTCTGTAGTTTCATTTTCAAAATCTGGAAAGTATGTAAAAATACTGTATTCCGGTGGCAGTATGAAGAACAACTGGAAGAAATACTTTGGGACCATGTATGCACCCTAATGAATCGTCTATGTAGGTAATCAAGACTTTATAGAAACATCTGTAAAAAAATAATTTAACAGTATAGTTTTATAGTGAAAACATCTTCTAGAACTCAACAGCAAGTATTTTCAAACGGTACCATCATTAAATAAAGGTGAGACACCATGTGAATTTCATTGTACTAGAGGAAATGCAAAGCATCTTTTTAATATAAAGATTTACAGAGCACTCTCTAGACAACAACAGCTGTGTTACAGCTATGTATTCTTTTGGATTTGGTCCAAAGAAACCTGAGCCTGGTTCCAGAGAGAATGAAGAAATTGCACAAAATGGATCTTTCCTTGGTTAAAAGGACTCTCCCCAAAGTCATTACTATAGCTAATTTTCACCCCCATTTCAGAAGCATTTCTTCTTCTGGGTTGTAAGTGTTCATCCTCTGCAAGGAAGAAACCATCTCCAGTCGAGGGGCAACTCTCCCTTGGAGGATCACCTCTTCTGTTCCCAGATTTCAGCCATGTTTAAGTCTAGGGTTTGAAGCCCTTTCAAAGCTTGGAGGTTTCCAGTGTAAAATGCTACATCTGCTGTAACCAGCCTATTACAAATAGAAATGAAAACATAACTGAAATATAGTATACCATTAAGTTGCATCACTGGCAGCTATTGATGAAATAACAATTCAGCTCTTAATGAACTTCCTATGTTCATTAATTCATTGATTTGAACTTGTGTTTTTCCTTCTGTGCTAGCTTCTATGGACTCCCAATGAAAATAAAATAAAAGAGGCAGTTAACACATTTAAAAAGATTAAAAAATCTATGGGAACATATTGCTTTAGTCAGAACTGCTTATGAACAGCAGAACTTTTCCAAAATATAATAAAATGTTTCATAATTATATGTCCCTATAGAAAGAGTGCACCACATTTGCACTCATTAAAGTTTTCAGGAGGAAACCCACCCTTACTCTTTCACTGACTCTTTCCTACCTACCGCAGCACCCATTTTCCTTGATTTACAACCTCCGAGATTTCTTTCTGAGACAAATTCCAGCCAGACACAGGTATGTGGCAGGCTCACAAAACCAAATTTTGCACAGTGCTTTATAGAGGTGAATATTTTAACTTGGGGGACCTCCTCCCTGAATAATCAATAAAACTATTTTAACAAGGGGCAAAATGTATACAAAAACATGCTGCATGCAAACTTGAAGAAGTGATTACTGGCCTGTATCTCAGCTTTCTAAAAACCATAATCACATATTAGTTTTTAAATTTTAATTCACAGGAGTTATGATGAGCTCTCCAAAAGAAGAAGAGGTTACCTACCTGTAACCATAGTTCTTCTAGTGGACCTCTGTGAGTTCACACGATAGGGGTTAAATCTGCGCTGGACTCCTTGGAAATTTCTAGAGCTTTAGAAAAAAAATAGATTAATTAAGAGTTGCCCCTACAGCACATGCTCCGCCCGCCCTTAGCCTCAGTTCCGTTTTATCCGCCACAGGTAAGCTCTGAAACACATAGAGCCAGTTAAGCAGTGACGGAAAGCGGGGAGGTAGGGCGGGGCATGTGAATTCACAGAGGTCCACTAGAAGAACTATGGTTACAGATAGGTAACCTTTTCTTCTTCTACGTGACCTCTGTGAATGCACACAATAGGGTGACTAGCAAGCAGCCTTACCGGAAGGAGGGCCATCACTGGAGTAACGACGTAAGAACAGCTCACCCAAAACTGGCCTCGCGTTTTGCTCGGAGATCCAGCCTGTAATGCTTTATAAAAGTGGACACTCTGGACCAAGTTGCCGCTTTGCAAATGTTCGCAAGGTCCACACCGCGAAGTAGAGCCGTTGATGTTGCCATGGCTCGAGTAGAATGGCCTTTTATGCCAACAGGTGGGTTTTTGCCAGCTGCTTCGTATGCAATAGAGATGGTAGATACCAGCCATCTGGACAGAGTCTGGGAAGAAGCCGGTGCACCATTATGATTGCCGTGAAAACAGAGAAATAGCTTAGAGGACTGACGGAAGTCCTTTGTCCTTGAGGTATAGTATGCAAGAGCTCGTCATACATCAAGGCTGTGTAGTAAGTGCTCAAATGGAGAAGATGGATTGGGAAAAAGGGTCGGTAAGACGAGTGGTTGGTTGATATGAAATGAGGATACCAACTTGGGAAGAAAGGAGGAATCGGTAAAGAACCACCTTGTCGAGGAAGAACTGAAGGTAAGGAGAATCTGTTCTGAGAGCAGCCAGTTCACTAGCTCACCTAGCCGATGTGATAGCCACTAAAAAGAGAGTTTTGGAGGACAAGAGGCGAAGGTCTGCTGAGGCGAGTGCCTTGAAGGGAGGACGGGTGAGGGCATGAAGGACCAGGTGCAGGGACCACTGGGGCAGTGGGGACCTGGTAGTCGGATGAAGATTGGAAAGGGCCTTGAGGAACAGTTGCAACGTGGGGTGAGAAAATAAGTGAGCTGAGTCGGAGGAGTGTGGTTGGTGAGCCACAATTGCTGAGATGTATACCTTCATGGTGGAGACAGCGAGGCCGACATCAAAAAGGTGTCTCAAATAGGTGAGGAGAGTAGCAAGGGTAACTGGTTTAGGTTGGACACCTTTGGACATAGCATATTTGCAGAAATTAGACCGCTTGTAAGAGTACAACAGGGTTGTGGAAGGTTTCCTTGCCTTTCGTAAGACATCTTGAATTAGGGGAGAATCCTCCAGGCTGTGAGGTGGAGGGATTGAATATCCGGGTGGTGAATACGGCCGGCATCCAGTGACAGGAGGTGAGGTACCAGGGGGAGCCTGAGATGTTCGGTGGCCAGAGTCCTGAGTGTGGTGAACCATGGCTGGTGCGGCCACCAGGGAGCAATGAGAAGAGCGTTCGCCCTCATCTGACGTATTCGAACTATTGTCTGTTGAACGAGACGGAGAGGAGGAAACAGGTATAGGAATGCACTTGTCCATGGAACCATCAGAGCATCTCTGTTGGAACCGATGCCTCTGCCCACTCTTGAGCAGTAGTTGGGGCATTTTCTGTTTGCTTGGGACGTGAACATATCCATTTGAGGTATCCCCCATTTCTGACAAAGCTGGAGGAAGATTGACTCGTCCAACTCCCACTCGTGCGTTTGAGTGGACGTGCGACTGAGGGCGTCCGCCAGATGATTGTCGGCCGTCGACACATAAACTGTGATCAGGAATATGTGGTGAATGTAGCAATAGTCCTATAGAAGAACCGCAAGGTAAAGGAGCGCCATGGAGTGCGTACCTCCCTGCTTGTTTATGTAATGCATCGTGGTTGTGTTGTCTGTTACGATTTGGACAGCATGTCCTTGCAGCAGTGGCAGGAAGGCACGGAAGGCTTTTATGACAGCCCACATTTCCAAGTGGTTGATGTGGAGATGTTTTTCTCTGGTGGACCACAACGCATGGATCTTGTGGTCTTTGCAGTGGGCACCCCAGCCTGTTGTACTGGCATCGGTTGTCACCTGAACTGTAAGTTGAAGTGGGCGGAAAGGGCGGCCCACTAAAAGGTGTGGAGTGAAGGTCCACCAACTGAGTTGCTGAGTGAGTTCTGGGGTCACTCTCAGGCGTTTTTCTTGGCTGTCCAGCAAGGGGTTGAACAGTGTCAGGAACCAGGCCTGTAATGACCGCATCTTTAGCCAGGCGTGTTGAAGGGCAGCAGTGGTGGAAGCCATGAGGTCTAACAGGTGTTGCGCCTGACGAGCTGATACCGTTCTGTGAGGCCGAAAATGTTGCACAGCTCTCTGAATTTTTCTGATGCGAGAGTTGGGGAGGTAGATGCGAGCAGTGATGGAATTGATTGTTGTGCCAATATAATCTGCCACTTGAGATGGGCGCAGCTGAGACTTCGACTTGTTGATTTGTAACCTGAGGCTCTTGGGGGTTTTCAGGACAAATCGAGTTTTCTGGACCACTTGCTCGGGAGAATCTGCTATGATGAGCCAGTTGTCTATATAAGGATAGACAGCTATATCGTTGAGTCGGAGGTACATGCACTTTGTGAAAGTGCACTTTGTGAAAGTGCGGGGTGCGGTCGATAGCCCGAAGGGGAGGGCTCAGAATTGAAAGACGGTGTCTTGAAAACAAAATCGTAGATATTTTCGATGTTGAGGGTGAATGGAAATATAAAAATAAGCGTCTTGAAGGTCTATGATTATGAACCAATCCCCTTGTCGTAGCAGGTGGAGAATGGTTTCCATCGTTACCATGCAGAATTTTCTGGTGCGTAAGTAGGTGTTTAGAGTTCGAAGATCCAGAATGGGACGGATGCCTCCGTCCTTTTTGGTAACTGCAAAGTAACAGGAGAAGAATCCGTAGCTTGCTTGACTCTTGGAGACAAATTGAATTGCCTGCTTTTGAAGAAGACTGTGGATTTCTTCTTGTAGGGCCAGATTGAACTGTGTGTGTTTGATGTAACCCAAAGGAGGAAGTTCTGTGAACTCGAGTCGATAACCTGACTGAATGATGTCCAAAACCCATTTGTCGTCTGTGATAAGTGACCAGTTGGGGAAGAACTTTGCTAGCCGAATTTGAGATGGGGAGGAGTATGGTGTACTGTCGGAGAGTCAAAGATAATGTTTTGCTTTCTTGGCAGGAGGACGGTAGGACTGTCTGCGATGGGAATGGGCCTGCGAGCAGAAGGAGGTAGAAGGAGCAGAAGCTTGAGGAGGCTTGGTATTTGCTGCTTAAAGGGGCGGTAAGTCTGTGAAGAAGGAGGTAAGTGTGACAAACCCAGACCTACTGGGACATGTCACACAGTTACACTAAGCTGCCACCAACCATTCCCTACAAGAAGTCACACAGACCAGGGATGGATTTTTAGACAATAAAAAGAATAAGGTTTATTTTAAATACACACAGGGAAAAATAAACAATCAGGTAAATAGGATAAAGTAACGTGGCTTATTCTCACTCATACAAGCATACAGTTTGGTTCACCCAGAACCCTTAACTTAAAGCACAGACCCTGAACCTATCAGTTCTGGCTAACCAACAGACACCTGAACCTATCAGGTTGGTACTCTGACACACAGAAGTACCCTGTCTGACACACAGACTCCCACAACAACTCCTTCTTCCCAGCTGCTGCTTCGTCTGCTCCCAGCGTCTCTCAGCATCCCCCTTAGTGTCTCATAAACTCTCCACACACGCTTCACATATTTATACAGTACAGCCCCTCCTCCTGATGTCCCGCCTTCCACTCCCCATAGGATGGAACTTTCCCTCCAAACCCATGACAGACAGGTAACATCAGTGCTGTATGTAACAGTAAGTATTGGTGAGTAGTGTAAGGTTTTTGCTTAAAGGGGCGGTAAGTCTGTGAAGAAGAAGGTAAGTATTGGTGAGTAGTGTAAGGTTTTCGCCACTGGTAAGGTTGAAATCTAGGTTGCTGATGGACTGTATAGGATTTAGCAGTTTTCTTCATTTTGTGAAAACTTTCCATAGATTCATCTGTCTTGTCATTAAACACACCTGTAGCATCAAAGGGGAGTGCTTCTATGTGAGATTTGGCGTCTTCATTGATACCAGATGATCTGAGCCAGGCGTAGTGGCGCAGAATGATGGAGGAGGTCATGGTCTTAGAAGCAATATCCGCAGAATGGCGGGAAGCAAGGAGCTGATGTTTTGCTACATTGGAGGCTTCCTCGAAGGTGTTAAGGAGGAATGACCGAGCGTCATCTGGGGCTTCTTGTAATGCAGGTAAAACTCTTTCCCATAACTGCAGCTGGTAAGCCGCCATTGCTGCCTGATAGTTGGCAACTCTGATAAGGAAAGTGGTGAACGAATACATCTTTCTGCCTAACACATCCAGCTTCCTACCTTCTCTAGGAGTAATTTGACCTAACACATCCAGCTTCCTACCTTCTCTATTGGTAGGAGTAATTTGAGCCAGTGGTTCTTAACCTTGGGTTACTCAAGTGTTTTTGAACTGCAACTCCCAGAAACCCCAGCCAGCATAGCTGGTGGTGAAGGCTTCTGGGAGTTGCAGTCCAAAACTCATGAGTAACCCAAGGTTAAGAACCACTGCCTTAGATGAAGCCTTGGACTGATTGGATTGCAAATAATAGAATTAGGAACAAGGTGCTTAGACAGAAAAGCAGCGTCCTTGCCATGGGTTTTGTAGTAGTTCTCAACCCTCCGTGTGACTTGTGAAGACACTGCTGGGGTAGACCAGGACTCCTTGACTGTGTTCAAGAGAGAAGGGATGAGCACAATACTGAGAGGCGGCGCCTTTTCTTTATCAATTCTGCCAAATACAAGATCTTCAGTAGGTGGAGAAGATTTCTCAATGTCCAATTTAAGGGCTTTCGCCATGCGGGAGACCATTTGTACGTACGAAGAAAAGTCCTCGGTGGATGAGGATGTATGGATATCAGAAGTGCCTTGATCAGACAGAGCCTCCGCAATGAACTCATCATCAGACCCCCCCTGATGGTGCTGATAGAGGGGTAGGAGACCCTGGGGAGGTAGAGTTCCCCTGGTAAGGGTGATGCTGGGGAAGGAGGCCGAGGGGCTGTTTTGTGTGTCTTTCGAGAAGTTGTCTTGAGACAGGGTGCACTTGCTTGAAGAGGGAGCTGCTCCTTGTATTGTCGAGGTTGCTCCCAGTAAGGTGGATTTATGGATCTCATCAGTAGTCTTATGGCACTTGTGATCTGTTTTCTGCTTCAAAGAATGGCCCATTGTAGGTACTTTGTGATGACGGTGCCTAGGGGGCGAAGGCAAGGGGGATGATGACGAAGAAGAGGGATAAACGTAACGCACTCTCTTCTTGGAGCGGTGTGCATCATCATCCAACCAGGAGTCTGAATAATCAGGTGAGCCTCGGTGCCGGTGGTGGCAGTCTAGGTCGATCACATTAGGCCCCTTACGCCCCTCCCTGTCCCGGCGTCGAGAGCGTCGCGGGAGAATAACGATCTCTCTATGAGAGCGACGGTGCCAGGGAGGGGAGCAGTGCTTTGTCTTTGCCGTCCGTTTTCGCAGTGGTGAGATCGGGCTGGGCGAACGCGAATGAGAACGCGAGTGAACAGAAGATGCCCGCCCGGTTGACGCAGGGCTGAGAGGGGCAGAACCGACACTAGATATGGGCGCCTCATCTAGTGGGTGTGGGCTAGGTGAACGGCTGCGCTGCCTGATCAGCGTCGACACCTGCCGCAGCAGTAGGGATTCCATGTCCTCAGGGCGATCCCCTAGAACAGCCTCATCCTCTTTGAGAATCGGGGATGGTGGAGAACTCGGAACGGGTAGAATGGAACAGTGCCATTCCTCCCCTTTAGAAGATGAGTCTTTTTTAGACTTGGCGGGAGCCCTTTCCTTCTTTCGTTTCAGGGACTCCGTGGTAGAGGATCTCGCCGCCAGGGAGGTTGTTTTAGGGGCGGGAGCCAGGGAGGAAACACTCTGTGTGTTGTTACCAGAGACCTAAGGCGGTGGTAAGGCTGCACGAGGTGCCGAGAGTGGAGGCTTTTTAGTTGGTTTCTTTGATTTAGGAGGGGGCTGAGGTGGTGACGACTTGGCCCCGCAATCGGATTTAGACGCCCCAGGGGGAGTCGGGGAAGTCACCTAACAACAGGCTTGGTAGAGGACAGGAGAGCGTCCCAGAGAAAAAATTTTAGCCGCTGTTGGCGCGCTCTATGGGCGGCGCGGGTAAACTTTTTGCAGTCCCTGCAGGACTGAGGCAAATGTCCCTCCCCCAGGCAAAACAAACAACACTCGTGGCCGTCTGAGAACGGTAGTTTTCGGTCACACGAGGCGCATTTCCTGAAAGGGCCCAAGGGGGACATAAAAGTAGGGAGGAGAGACTCACGGATCCCGCCAAAAGGCGGAGTACGCCAGTAGAGTGGTCAAACAGTCCAAGGTCAAAGCCAGCAAGAAAAGCGACAATCCAAATCACAAATCCGTAAAACACAGTCCAAGATCAGCCCAGGTGGTAGGGGCAACAGATAGGCAGAGACAAAGTCCTTAGCAGAAAGAAGTAAAAGCCGGAAAAAAACATGAAGTAATGTAGAGCTCTAGCGAGGAGTTCCTAACGTGAAGGCGGTAAAACGGAACTGAGGCTAAGGGCGGGCGGAGCACGCGCTGTAGGGGCAACTCTTAATTAATCTATTTTTTTTCTAAAGCTCTAGAAATTTCCGAGGACTCCGGCACAGGTGCGGATTTAACCCCTATCGTGTGCATTCACAGAGGTCACGTCGAAGAAGTTACAGATTCTTCTGTGTGCACATTCCTTCAGCACACATTGTAGCTGATGCTACAATGCTTATGATGAAATACACTGTGGGATTTATCTTTACCATTCTTGAACAATAAGGAAATAATCAGTTGCTCTACCCAAACTGGCCACGATGTCAGTTTTGGCAAAGCAAAATTATGTGATAGTTAGGTTGTACACAGAGATCTGACCAAGAACAATTCAGTCATGGATACTGGATGTGGAAGAGGAGGGTTGGGTAGCACTTGGGTATGTAGGGTGCCATCTGGAGGACAAACTGCAGGCAGACACTTGCTTCCTTGCATGAGCCCTTTCCAGATTAGGATAATATGCTCTGTAATCATCAACTCTCTGTGCTGAACACCACTGCACATATGTTATCAGTCTAAAGATGTAACAATAAAAGTCATTGTTTCAATCATAGCTTCTAATAATGCATGTTAACAAGGGAAAACATGAAACACAACTGACAAGCATCCCCTCAATATCTTCCATGCATTTAGGAATTTTGAGAGCAGATACTGGAGCCTTTAAAGCTGGAGCTCGTAGCAGAGCTTGGCAACCTTCCTGGGCCTGAAGGTGCTTTGTGGTGACAGACACGCCAAGGACTGAACATATGCATGCCTGCAAACACTGTTCCTCTCCCTCCCAGCCAACAACCTTGCCATTTCTGCAGCAGGGAAACTGGTCCTAGTTACCCAGGGCTCATGGATCTGGGAGGACGTCTGGTCCTGGTGCCTCTAACAGTGCTGAAAGAGCTTTTCCTCACTGATTAGATTTATAGTATTCTGGAGAGGTCAGAAGAGGACATGGCAATGTCAAATTATTTATTTTGAAGAGAAAGTATCTCCCTCATTCCTGAAACAACCCTTTTACTGATCACCACACAGGTTCAAGGCTTGACGTCAGCTCTAAACGTGAGCCATTCAGCATGCCACACCATGCCACAGGGGAAGATGAGAAAGGATAAATGTATTTTCTTCCTCTTCCCCCCCCCCGCCCCTCTTGCTCTACAGCTCTGAACAGTGCTGCAGGTCCCTGTTCCTGTCTGTCTGCCCTGAACAACAACATTCCTGAGAATGGGAGTCCTCCCAACATTTTGCTCCAATTGCCCACTTGCTTGTGCTTTGAAGATCATTGATGGACAGAGTCCTGTGCAGGCTGAAAGTATGTGATTTTAGTTTAGTACTTAAAATAATGAGCTTTGTACTTTTATTTCTTCCGTGGGACCTAAAACATCTCCTAACAGTACATCCAGATTAGAACCCTTGAGCATGATTGAGGCACTGCTGCCTTACTGAAGGTGGAGTAAAAATTAAGTTCCACACAATATTTAACTGTGCTATATTATCTCAAACATCACCAGGTACAAGACTCTTTTAATAGCCCTTTAAAGCTAACTAAAGGCCTCTTGTTTGCAGTTAAGCCTATTTTATTTCCTCCAATTGGTCCAAGTTGGGGGATTACTGAAGGATATCACCTAGTCATCCCCTTGAACAGTTACCCAGACTCTCTTACAAGTAATGGGCACATTCATAACTGACTTCCTCTCATTTGTCTTTAAGTGCTGTTCTCCATTTATAGTGTTACTACTGAGAATGAGAAATTACCAAAGAAAAATAGGTACCGGGATAATTTTTATGGGGAAATCCAAGATTACTAATCATTGTAGTTGCAAAGACTCCTGCTATTCAGGATGATACCAGAGAGGCTTATGAAGGAGCCAGTAGGGATACAAGAGGAGAAAATTCCCCAATGAAGCAGCAGTAGCCACTGCCAGGATACTTCCTAATCTTAAAATAATTTAGATTTTTTAAAAATGCACAGTGTTTCTGTGGTCCATCTTTCTTACCTGTGACCCCACGGCTACTCCATGGTTATAATTCAACTGTCAACCAGCAATCCTAATGCAACCAACCCAGTATGTAATTAGATAGGGCTTAAAAGCCACATAATAATTCTAGTACAGGATTGGGTTTGTGTTTTGGGGGCCCAATTTTCATGCCAACACATATGGCATTGTTGCATTTCTGTTGTGGCATAGGGGTTTACAAAAGCCCAAGAGCAATAAAACCCTCAACAATGAGCAAGTCTATTTCAAGAAAACCTTGAAGCATACCCATTTTGAGGTCCTCCATCGTTGACTACATTTAAGTGGGCCAATTGCCTCTTCAAATGAAGTTTATAGCTTGCATTAATTCTTAAAAACAACATCTAGAGAACAATACAGTAAAAAGGTGTTAACACAACTTCATTAACTTAGAAAAAGTAAGTCCCAAAAGAAACGCCATTTAATGCAGGCAATCACCATTCCATTCATGAGCCACAGTCCCTTTTCACCAACTCAGATCCTAGGGGGCATTCCACACAATAACGTTTCTTCTAGGCCCCAAACATCTTTTGTACATGTGCTGCAATAGGTTAAGTGAAATCATCTCATATACTTCCTGGCCTCCATTTCCTTTTGTTTCATATGTATCTGGTTTTAGATTACAAGACCCTTAGGATAGAGACTTGCCAAAACTGTTCTTTATGAAGTGGCATCTACATGACAGCACTCTATTAATAAATAGCAGCAGGAACACATATTTTATATAAAACTGTTCCTCATAGTGGCAGCTCCTGTGAGGTGCAACAATCTTTTTGCCAATCTGCAACTATATGGTGCACTGAGAACTGGTTTGCCAGAGGGCAGTGAGAACATAGTACTGCTGTAAAGGTTACTTTAAAATGGCTTGAAACATCGGTTTCAAAATGTTTCCGGCTACTTTGCTGCCACGCAGAATTGGATTTCAACAACTTTCACTTATGGGCAGTACACTTGAACTATCCCCAAGCAAAGATGGAAGGATTTGTCTATTACCTGATTCACATAAATCACCTTGTCAAAACACACACAAACTGACATTTAAGGCAGATTTAAGGAGACCAAGATTCTACAGTAACAACTGAAAAACTACTGTTCTCATCAGAGAGAGTGAGAAAGAGAGGACATGAAGATTTACATAGGCAAGCCTTCTTTTTTTCCCCATTACAAGAAACTGTGTAATTAAGGATTTTTCTGCAGCTATTATTTCAGATTCTGAACTAAGCTTTTTCCTTTGATTTTCATATCTAGAATCTTGGTTATTATTTGTTACACAGTATTCAATAATCAACAATAGTAAGACAAGATTCTGCTGAGGCGTAAACTCCCAGACAAAATTCTGAAGATCTTTGATCAAAAGCGGGTTGCTGCAATCCTGCCAGTGACCAAGCACTGGCATGATTAGCCAAATTCAGATGCTTCTTCAACAACTAAGAGCTCAACAGAGGTAACAGACAGACTACTCCAATGGGCTCACCTGTGTTTGCTCCTCAGGAAGAAGATCATATATTGCCTCATGCATTTTTGCCATCTGTTTACATATGTTCCTGAAGCAGGTGGATGGAACAGGTGCTTTTACTTCATACTGAAAATCCAGAGAGGAAACATATCATAAATCTGTCTTTTGGATCTTGGCCACTTGTTTTATTTATGCAATACTTAGTATTTTAATTAAAACATGGAATGTACTTGTGGGTTTGTGTTGTTGTCTTTTTACTGTTCAAAACTCTATCTTTGAATTTTTAACTAGTGACTATGCTGGCCTTGTTTAATGTAACTATTAGTATTTTTATTTATTAATTTAAAGCATTTATATTCCACCCTATGGTGGAGGGCAACAATAAAACTAATATAAAACAATTGAATACATTAAAACCATTTACAAGTATTAAAAGTACACAAATACATTAAAAACCAATAAAACTAATATAAAACAATTGAATACTTTAAAACAAGCATTAAAACTACACAAATACATTAAAAATAACAAAAGAAGAAGCCTATGAAAACCATGATCTTTAATCCCAAAGGCAATCAGTTCAGTCTTTAAGGAGGAGAGCATTCCATAACCGAGGTGCTGTAAGTCAAGAAAGTCCCTCTCCCATGTCTCTAGATGATGGAGTGTAGCTAAAACCTAAATCAGAGAAAGCCATCACATTTTCCATCCCCACCAATATGATACAATAATTTCCCTCAAAACAACTTCTGCAAATAGAACTACAGAATACACACTTGCTTCATAAATAAGTACAATATTCTTACATACAAACTACCTCAGCATGAAAGAAGAGAAAGCTGGTAAAAGAAACCACTTGTGCACAGCTCTATACTTCTGAAGACTGAACACTGAAGACTTTGTAACTTCTATGTGATGCAAACACACACAACCTTACAACAAGAACACTAGAAATGGGCTTTGCACCTGACCTCCCCTTTTTGCACCAGATACAAGATTGTATTCCCTGTTCTTGGGCTCCCAGAAAAATGCAAGTTTGATCACTTATTCATATACACACACACATTCACCATTTCCTACTGATTGTGCATTATCATTAGTCAAAAAGTGCTAACATTAATCAATATAAAATCAATGCTTACAAAGGGAAAAAGTTGGTACCTGCAAACCTCACCAACTATTTACATTTCAGCTACAACTCAACAATTGGAATGGCATGATTTATATTATTTAGGGTCAGTTTAACTTTTTTTTAAAGAGTTATGCCTTTGTGATACTCTTTGATGCATCTGACATAGTCCACAAGTCTCTTGCCAAATAAAACATTTCAGTCTTTAAGGTGCAGAAGACTCTGTGTTGGTTTTGCTGCAAACAGCTACAGATGAACAAAGCTACCTCCTTAGAAATTTCCTTTGACACCAAGTTATCTATACATTCAAAACTCACTCCAATATACCATTCCATTCCAGAAAATATGTACTGGGAGGAACTGTCTGATATCAATTGTTCTATGCAACCACAACACATATCCCTCCAGATGGTTGCCCATCATGGTGATAGTTGAGGAAACTTGATTTTACTGATAGAGCACTAAATTCTTACCTGTCCTGTCTACCTTTATTAACTAGTACAAATGCTTTTGACCAAACATTTACACTGGCTGGGCTGGCTGGATAACTGTCTGCACTGGAGCACCTGGGGTCAGGGGTCTTATTCTCCACTGTGCCTCCCAGAAGAAGAGACAGCCTGTGCATGGGGTCCAGAGTGGCAGCAGAAAGAGGGACTGCTAAATCGCATTCCAACCCCAACATTTACAAATGCCTGGGAAGGGTCACCATTAAGTTGGAAATAACTTGAAATAACACTATTATCATCTCAAAACTGCTAGTAGCTTCAAATCCATTGCTAAGACACCCAAAGGAAGTTCCACCTCCCAAAAAGTACCACTGAAAAACAAAAGCTCTTCTATGAGTTGGGTGTGCTCAGAAATTAGCTGTCCAGGGAAAATGCTATCTACTATGCTTCCACTTTAGCTGTGATAGGACAAGGCAGGAACAGAGTCTGTGCAGCAATTTCTGCATTTCCCCCTCCATCAATTGTTTTCAACCCTTCTGTTTAAAAAGCAGGCTCTCTTATTATTGATGTTGTTGCAAAGGGAGCACCAAGACATCTTTGCTAAAATCAGAGTTGGTAGGGTTGAATTGCTGACCTGCTCAATTCCATTATTGAAAGCTGTCAAACAAGGATGTATTTTGGTCCATTTTCCTTTTAATTATTTACCCAAACTGCTTGAGAATCTGGATGCATCCTAAACTGTTACAGCAAGCACGAACATTAGTTTTTTTCCCTATATGTTGATGACGTGGTTATTCTCTGATTGAAAATGTGATTACATTGACAAATATTTCAGGATTTCTTCCACAATCAGCTTAGGTAAATTCTAAGTATTTTTCAATGATCACATGATGCAATGGCCAATGTGAATCAGCCTGGCCCTTTCTGCTTCTGATTTGGAATTTTTTCCTTTGCCAGTGGGAGCTTCTACTTTTTTCCAAGTTGAAATGATCCAAATAGTAGTTTCCTTATACAGTATGATTGTTTCTTTCGTTCTACAAAAAAATGGTCAACATGACTCTGGATGATGTCATGGTGATATATTAACTGGGGTGCATGATATTTAGAGACCAAGGAAACACCTTTCCAATCTTTCTCCCTAGTCAGCCCAAAGTATTATTTTTTAAACAAACTACTGCTTTTAGTGCTAGATCATCTTATCATTACATTGATAATTTAATGCTACACAGCTCTACACAGGCCAAAAGGAAAAAAGAACAGGGAAGAGATAGAAAGAGAGAGAGAACCAGGAATTGCATGTCTGCACTGAAGTGGGATGGCCAGAACACAAGTACAGCTTTCTAACTTCCATGAAAACTTTTAGTTGTGTGAACTTTGTGGCTGGTCTTTGCAGCTTATTGCTATTCCTTAAATTCTAAATTGTGAGTTTCTGCTTTGCATTTATTGGCAGGAGAGCCAACTTGTGAGCTGACAATGTTCCAATTAGTGTCCAAATTACAACCAAGGCAGTTAGTGTTTCAGAAAGCCTTTTTGACTAACACGTTAGCTATCCATTCCACAAGATATTTTAAGTTATACTCTTGTATTAAATAGATTCTCAGAGAGCTAATTATGTTGAGACAATTATCCTAAACCCACATAGAATAGCTTTTACTGAGATAAGGTTTAATGTCATGCCCTCTGCTTTTTTAGACTCCTACTGTGAAAACCTCCAAATTAAACATTGCTCCTCTGCATTTTCTAATGGATATTGTTTACTGTCTAACCCACTGTCCTTTATATGATGAGCCTTGTGAGAAATACCTTCTGAGTTTCTTGCAAGGAGGAACTTTGTTACACCAGCTGAGTCTGCTTACTTTGTGTTATCAAAATGTCTTTCTTTATTTGCATTAGCAGCTAGGAGGAGAAGACCTAGATTTGTATCTTTGTTTGTATTATGTTGTAAAGGGCTTTATACAATAAAAAAATTAAACAATGAAGAATTAAACTTTCTCTGAATCAGGGATATATCTCTTTTCTGAAGATCTTCTGCCAAGGAAATTATGTGGTATACAGCCTCTTTTTCCTTCTCTAAATGATATGTTCAACTATAGTGCTCTTAGTTAAGTGGGATTTTTTGAGTTCTTAGACTACAAATCCCACAATTCCCCATTCTGGGAAATTAAGGGGGTCAAAAGAATGGTGTCTGCATTCTCCTGCTGGAGCTTGGTAATTACTCTGTGAATCAGAGGCAAAGAGGTAGAGAAGGTGATGATCCCAGTGGAACATGAAAGTGCCCCCTAGGGTTTGGGGATCACTTCCTGCACATGAGCAATAGTCCCTGCATTTGCTGTTCGAGGCAAACAGATCCATCTGGGGTGTTCCCCATTCACTGCAAAGGGAGAAGAAGACATGGTAGTTTAATTCCCATTTGTGTGTCTGACTATATCCTCTGCTGAGGGTATCCGCAATGTTGCTGTCTTGGCCCACCATATAAATGGCGGTTGGAAAGATGTAATGCTCCACACACCACTCTCAGAAGTCCATGGATAGAAGCAAACGCACAGAGTGAGTCCCTCCTTGTTTGTTCATATACTATACTGTACTCATATTGTCAGTGACTACTTGCACGATTTTGCCCAACAGATGAGGCTAGAAAGCTCTGAAGGCCTTGTACACTGCGAGTTCTAACTTGTTTATGTGTAGGAGAGACTCTCTGGCTGTCCAGGTGTCATGGATTTGATGGAAGAAGCACGTCGTGTCCCAGCCAAGGAAACTCGCACTGGTCACAACCTGAATGCTTGGGAATACAGAGTGGAAAGATCTGCCCATGAACAGGTTCAGTGGGTTGGTCCACCACTGCAATTGGGTACTGAGCTCCAAGGTCACCTGGAAGAGCTGAGTAGGATGATCTTGCATGTGACTGAAGAATGAAAGATACAGTACCATATTAGAAAAGGCCACATCTTTAGCCTCACGTGTAGAATTACTGAGGCAGTGGAAGCCATAAGGCCCAACAGTTGCTGAGTGTTGCAAGCCAACACTACTGCACCAGGGGTAAAGATTTGTATTACACTTGGTAGAAACTTGGGGGGGGGGAGTATGCCCTGGCCATGTCAGAGTTCAAGCTCTGGTCAAGGATGGACTTGTAGAAAGTGACCTAGAGACCAAGGTCCTTGAGGAGGGTGAGTGGGATCATGACATTCTTGCATGTCGTGTTCTCACAGGCAGCCATTACAAGTCAGTCATCGACATAAGGATAGATCATAATGCCCCAAGAGTGCACAACATATATTTGGTGAAGATCCGTGGCACAGTGGAGAGTCCAAATGGAAGGGCTTTGAACTGAGAGATGGATTAGCTAACAGCAAACCAAAGGAAATAACTATGGTGGTGCCTGATAGAGACACAGAGATATGAATTCTTGCGGTCAATGACTGCAAAGCAATCTCCACGGTAGAGCACAGGAATTATAGTTTTCAGTGTTGTCATGCAGAATTCCTTGGTAGAAATGAATCTGCTGACTCCCTGCAGGTCAAGAATTGGTCTGAGGCCACCATTCCTCTTCAGAAATGTAAAGTACAGTGGTGCCTCGCATTACGATTGCTTCGTTTAACGACGAAATCGCATTACAATGAACTTTTTTTGATGCTTTTGCGATCACAAAACGATGTTTCCTATGGGGGAATTTCACTTTGCGATGATCGGTTCCCTGTTTCGGGAACCGATTCTTCGCAAAATGAGGGAACCGATTCTTCGCAAAATGACGATTTTCCAACAGCTGATCAGCTGTTTCAAAATGGCAGCCGGGTAAATAAAATGGCTCCCCGGTGTGTTTAGGGACGGATTCCTCACAAGACAGGCAGCGAAAATGGCCGCCCTATGGAGGATCTTCGCTGGACGGTGAGTTTTAAGCCCATCGGAACGCATTAAACAGGTTTTAATACATTTCTATGGGCTTTTTAATTTCGCTTTACGATGTTTTCGTTCTACAGCGATTTCGCTGGAACGAATTAACATCGTAATGTGAGGCACCACTGTAATATAAGTAGTGGCACTCCAGGATGAGGTGATGTGGAACTGATTGGATAGCATCTTTCTGTAAGAGGGAAATAACCTCATTGTTCTGTGAGGGGGGGAGGAAAAGAATTCTACAGTTTATCCAGATTGGATAATGGAGAGCACCCATTTGTTCAAAGTGATGCGGAGCCATGCAGGTAAGAACAGTGTCAGAAGGGGGATGCAGAGAAGGTTGGAGCAGGTAGATGACTGGATGGATGAAGTAAAAGGCCCTGCTTTGGTTTGCCCTCTGAGTCTGTATTTCTGATGCCTGTTCCTCTGAGGGTAGTAAGACGAGGATGAAGTGACCTCTGCTTGTCATAAGGCGGTCTGGGAGAAGGTGTAGCAGAGGGTCTTCTCCAAGACTGGCAGAAGGAACACTGTTGGTATCGCAGATAGACACTGAACTTCTTTGCTGCTGAATGTTTCCTTTAGAGGTCATCCATAACATCGTCCATATTTGTCTGAAACAGACCCTCCACATCAAAAGGGGAGATCCTCAATTTGGTAGCAGACATAATCTCTGACACCTGCTGAACACAGAGCCATGCATGGCGCCTGATTGTGACTGCAGTCACAATAGCCTTGGCTGTGCAGCCTGTGGCATGGCGGCTGACCGCATCTGTTGAGCTACCACAGCCATCGCTTCTTGGTAAGCACCACTGCATCAGTCTGGGCTGCATCAGGTAAGGCATCCAGATGGGACTGGAGTTCATTAAGAAGGGATTGTTGGTATGCTCCCATCACCTCTGATAGTTGGTCATCCACATTGCTATGGAGGCTGTAGAGTATAGACACCAGCCGACACCATCCAGCTTCCTTTCTTTCAGGAGCAGGAACCTGATATCTCCTCGATCGAGTTTGGGAGGCTGCCACAATTAATGAGTTGGGCTGAGGGTGTTTCAGCAGAAAAGAAGCTCCTTCATTGTAGACTCTGTAAAAAGTTCTCCACCCTCCTAGAGGTGGGCAACAACCAGGCATGTTTCTTCCAGGCATCCCTAGCCAGAGCCAGCAGGGATGGGACCATGACCAGATGAACAGGTGAAGAGTCCAAGGTGATCTGATCATAGAGATGGTTGGAGTGCTCAGGAGAGGGCCTCTGAGTTGCTATGCAGAGAGACACATGCTGAGAGATTTCAGACAAAATCTGGACTTTAATATTCTCCAAGGGAGATGGGGGTTTGGCATCCACCACCTCCAATTCAGGGGTGGTGACAACAGTGGACTGAAATTCTGAGTCTGAGATGGAGAAAGAGTCTGAGAAGGAATGAGATTGAGAGAGTGGACACCAATGAAGACTAGTTGTCTGGTTGAGGGCCCTGCCGCTGGTCAGGTTTGAGGGGCATCAGATCCAAAGGGGGATTTTGATGTGAATATTCAGCTTCGACAATGGCAGGAGCAGAACTGTGGACCTGCTCAGCTGGAACTGGAGAGGCAGACTGGCCATGTCTGGTATTTCCTAATGCATCTAAAACTCAAGGGATCTGGCCACACCTGAGTAGGCAACCTGTCTGTTGGCAGCAAGGACGACGCAAGGTCTCGCTGCTGAGGCTGGTCTCAGAGGACTGCAGGCCTGCTGGTAATTGGAGCAGGCAATGACACTGGAGCAGAAGGCAGAGGTGCCTGGCAAGGGACTACCAGCATCGGCTGGATGTAGGAAGCAGTCAGAAATGAGAGGAACCATTGAGACTGCAAGAACTCCCTGGATAGTTGGGGGCAGCACTCCTTGGATCAATGTATTCTCGAAGGCTTTCACGGCCAGGATCCAATGGTACCCACCCACCCCTGTGAATCAAAACCAAACATTTCCCGAATACTTTAACTCTTATGGGTTTAGGAGCACAGAAGTATTTTTTTCCTATTTTCCAGATTTTTTTAAATAGGGAAATATGCACAGGATGCAAAAATATTCCTTGGGAGTTTATACGTAGTCTAGGGCAGCTGTACTTTGCCCGCCCCAAATATACATGTTTGCACTGGTACAGTAACAAGTTAATATCACACTGAAACTAGGGTAAGGAGAGTGACTTCACAAAGGCTAGTAACTGACAACCTAGTTGGCTGGATAATTCACTGAGACTAAGCACCTGCCTGCATAACCGAGGATTGGTATTTCAATTCCCCACTATGCCATGGAGGAGAAGGATGATCCTGTGTGGCCTTGGGCAAGCTATATAATCCCAGGATGCCCTTGGAAGAAAGGAATCATAAACCACTTCTGAGGTCTTTATACATTAAAAAAAACTTTGGAAAAGGTTGCCATTTGAGTCAGAATCAACTTGACAACACAATAATTATTATAAATAGCAACATGCACAAAGAAAATATAGCCCATATACCTGCACAAAATGAAGAAGACTAATTGAGAACCACAGTTCTACTCAAAATCATTACCTTAGAGAGGAGCTTGTCAAATAAACTATCCATTATGGCTACAAGTTTTGCTGAAATCTCGGCAATGTGGTCATGATAATCCTGAAATTAAAAACATATTTATTATTTATTTTATACCATTATCCTCATTAGAATTCTTTCCTAATGAGCATAACCAGAAGGCATGAATAAAAATAAACAGCAGTATAGTGTCCCCCCTCTACCTTCCAATATTACTTAATTGTTAAGGTTCATCTCAGTGGGCTTGGAAGCATAGCATCTGGCTTGGCTTATCACCAAAGTCTTTATTTGTCTTTGTAATCAGCTATCCCTCAGATCTGTTGGCTTTTTAGAGTATTTCTTCACTCTGGAAATTACAAGAAATGGCAAACTCCTCCTCTCCCCCAATTTCTCTATTGTAGTGCATCTTATTCTATAGGCTCACCTCTTTCCTAAGCCCTCTTCATTTTACTGGAGGGCTCAAGATAGAGGCAAAGCATTCTCTTACTGGAACACAGATTTAGAGAACCAAAGGGTTTATCCCATTGTCTCTTATCTTATCCAAATCTCCATGCACATGAAGCAATACTGTGTACTTTCTTTGATAATTTAACAAAGACAAATGACTTGAAAGGAACAGAGAATACTCCCTCTCTTGCAACAATGATTCTCAAATTTCAACCTTTCCTATTGTATCAATCAATCAAAGAACCTGGGTCCCATTATGCCAGAAACAAAAATCCCACCTTTTCTGATAAGGCCATTCATATATTCACAGGCATTCTGCTATTGTATGCTATCATATTTATCATTTGCAATAAATTTTAAGGACAATAAAAATGGCAGTCATAATTATAGGGAATAAACAACAACAAACAGGAACAGTATCTCCCAAATTTCATGTTGTGAAAAAGCTAAGTCTGACCTAAACAACGCCTCTTCCCACCTATGGTATTGCAATCCACAGGTTGAGGATGACTAACTTGCACCACAGTTTGGAGAAAGGGAAAAACAGAAGGAGAAATTTCTAAAATATAAAAATAATCTGTGAGGAGGCAGCTGTAAAGACTGTAGCCATTCCTTCCAGACAAGCAGAATTCTGGATGCCTGCTTATTTTGGAGAAAAGAAAAAAGTTCAAAATCCCCACAGCATGCTTTGAGAATCAACTATTCCCAGCTCTGTCTATTAACACATTTACTAGGGATGGGCAAAATGACTGCGCACATCACACAAAGGGAAATGAAGGTTATTACTAGGTAAAGGTAAAGGTTCCCCTTGACATTTAGTCAGTCGTGTCAGACTCTAGGGGGTGGAGCTCATCCCCGTTTCCAAGCCATAGAGCCAGCGTTTGTCCGAAGACAGTTTCCATTGTCACGTGGCCAGCGCGGCTATACACGGGACACTGTTTACCTTCCCACCGAGGTGGTACCTATTTATCTACTCGCATTTGCATGCTTTCGAACTGCTAGGTTGCCAAGGAGCTGGGACAAAGCAACGGGAGCTCACTCCGTCACGTGGATTCGATTTTACGACTGCTGGTCTTCCGACCCTGCAGCACACAAAGGCTTCTGCGGGTTAGCCCGCAGTGCCACCACGTCCCTTGTTATTACTAGACACCCATTCAAAAGCATAACTGTATAGGCTGGAGAAGCACCTGTTTCAGCACTACTGGAACCTTACATTTATTTGGGGGAGGTATTTTCTTATACCACAATGAAAGGAACAAACGTTTCAAATAAGAAAATGGTTGAAAAAAAATACCTTGGTAATGTGGTCAAAATGCCTAAGCATGCTGTACTGCTTGGGCTGCAAGCGAGCCTCAAAGTGAGCTCTGATAACAGGAATGTAGTGTACTATCAGCTGAAGGCAGCGTGATGAGAGGGCTGTAAACATCAAGGAAAAAGCAGGAAAAATAACACAGAAGAGCTATTACTATAATGAGAGACCTTTCCCTAGATCAGCATTTTAAAAAAATACCACACATGGACCAATCTGCATAAAAGATTTTTTAAATCCCATTTTAGAAATTTCCTCATTGGATAATCCTAAGGAATGTTGAATTAGCACACCAGTGATCCACCAAAAGAACTTTCCTTTAAGAAAAAACTTCTTTTATACCTGCCATTTGAGAGGGCTGTAAACATCAAGGAAAAAGCAGGAAAAATAACACAGAAGAGCTATTACTATAATGAGAGACCTTTCCCTAGATCAGCATTTTAAAAAAATACCACACATGGACCAATCTGCATAAAAGATTTTTTAAATCCCATTTTAGAAATTTCCTCATTGGATAATCCTAAGGAATGTTGAATTAGCACACCAGTGATCCACCAAAAGAACTTTCCTTTAAGAAAGAACTTCTTTTATACCTGGCATTTTACATTTATTTCCAAGAGTGATTAGTGGGGTCTTGACTTAAGAACGGCTTGAGTTAAGAACATTTTGACTTAAGAACCACTCTCATAGGAAAATATTGACTTGACTTACATACTTAGATTTGAGTTAAGAACTGAAAAAACCCACGTGGGAGGCAGGGAAAGTGCAAAATTTGAAATTTCAGTTAACTGTTGGCTAGTGAAGAGGGTGCCTGTCTGCTTCCTCACTCCTCCCAGCGTTTAGAGAGTGGATTGGGAGACAGTCTTCGGACTGCCTGGTACTGTACTGCCTGGACTGTATTTTCCCTGCCTTCCCTGAACCTTTCTTGACCTAAGAAAAAAAAGAAACAAAATATCCCCCTCTAGTGGTTGAAGGCAGAATAACAGCTTCCCATTAGTTTCTATGGACGGAAAAGAGCAGATACGGATCAAATGGTTTTCAATGCATTCCTATGGGAAATGCAGATTTGACCTGAGAACTTTTTGACTTGAGAACCGCCTTCCAATACGGATTAAGTTCTCAAGTCAAGACCCCACTGTATTTCCAAGAGTGATAAAAAAAAAACAGGTGCAAGCTCCTTAATCTGGTTTCCACAATAAATTAATTTAATATCAAAAATAATGACTAATTTAAATTCAAAACATGCTTCTAAAGGACTGAAAGCTCAGAGAAATTTCTCTTGAAAATTTGGAGAGAAAACATGAAAGTTAGATCCATACCTAAATTTTTTGTAGTTATTGTTTTCAAGCCAACCACTTGCAAGGCCCCTGCTCCAAGCACCAGCTGGCAACTTCTTGAGTTGAAATACTGCACAAGAAAGGGAAAAATCATAGAAGACCTTCATGCAAAGTAAGGAGCAAGTTATTTGAAATATGTATGCTTTCTGATAAACCATTGTGTCATAGCAATAATGGAAGAGGGCATCATAGAGACACAAAACCTAAATACTGGTACCTATTAAATCTCAAAAAAATTGACTACTTTTATGTAGTCAAGTCAAGTCACCTTTAATATGGTCAAAAACCAATATCCAAATGCACAAATAAAACAATCCACAAAACACTACATTCTCCTATACATGTAAAAAGCATATGTGTAAGAGTTAAAATATTCTAACAGAAGTGATAAGTACTGCTGGCTCAAATCCCCTCTAAGGGTTCCCAATTGCTATGTAAAACTTAAGACGGTCTTCCACTGCATATTTTTACCTCATCAGCTCTGTACACGGATTCTGATCCAATGTACAACTGGGAGACAGTGATCTCAACAAATAAGCTGCCCTGTCTAGAGGTTGATGCAGAACTGGCTCTACCTTTAGGAAGGAGTGAATGCCTTAAGTGGAAGAGCAGGAGAAACAGCAAACTGCCATACCCAACTGCACCAAACTCAACCTCCTCCCTCTCACCTCATTTCTATGTTTTTTCCCTTAGCTGACTTTGCCAGTAGTCACTGTTGCCTTGCCTCACCACTGGGATACTTTGACTGATTGTGTATCTCCTGACCCTGCATACCCTCCTTGGAAAGAACAGATGGCCACAAAAAGCATCTGACACATCTTCATGCAGAGCTGTTGCTTTGCCTTTTAAAAAAAGGTTGCAGGCACCCCCTTGTATAGGGAAGGCACTCAGAGTACACAGGTGTAACTGCTGATGGTAACAATTAATGTTTCTTTTTTTAAAACAGAAATAACGCTGTGCCATAGCATTTACTTTGCACTGTTTATTTGTAAAACAACACCATGTAATTAATTTGTGTTAAAAATCAGGAAATTATTTATTTAAAAAAGTGGAAAAAATGCTTATTGCTTGACTGGATGAAATGACCTTCAAAGCACAAAGCAAGGAGTTTTCCATTTGTTTGGCTGTGGATTTCATTGCTCTTTGTTTTTACTAATTTGTGATGTAAACTCTGCAAATGAAGCAAGATAGGATGGCCCAGATAAACTGATAATATATAGACATCAAGACTGAAGTTAACAGCTCACCAATGCAAATTCCAATGACTAAGCTAGCACCAAAAATGCTAAGAAGCAAAATCAGACAAGTGATACACATTTGATCTTTTTAGAATAGATCTGAAAATCAATAATGGAATTACTTTGGAGCTTACAATGAAAGGTCTGTACCCAAGAAAGTGAACAAATGAACAGAAACCTTCAAGGAAGATTTTTTTTTTCATCATGTATATTGGAAACAGAGGTTAAAGTCCTGTACAAGTTTTCTCATGTTAATGTTTAAGCTGTTTCTTTAAATATTCCTGACTTGCCTATTTAGATTAATTAAACATTTACATGAACACTATACTTAGATATGCAAGGAACATTCTGAAACTCATGAAGTGACCCTGACGACAGTCAGTCTCTCTAAACCTGACCTACCTGACGGGGCTTTTTGACAGTAAAGTGGGGTAGAAGACACACACACACACCCCTTGAGCTCACTGGAGTCAAATGCAAGGTAAAATTTAATTAACACACGAAAGTCCGTAATTTCTTGCAGGTTGAGCAATCTTTACCTTCAGTAAATCGGACAGGCGAGTAAGCATGTCCGTTGCTATGGAGGGGATGCTGTCCACACATTGGCAGTATTCAAGAATGATTCTAATTAATAATAACACTGTCCTGAAAGCAAGCAAGCAAACAAACAGATTGGCAATTTCACATCACATGACAGACTGGCAAAGCATCAAACCTACTTCTCTAAAATGCCGCCTTTAAATATTTTATTTTCATATGTACTATTTCACTAATGATATTGGCTTACCAGTTTCTTTACTTTTCCTTCAATTTTTATTTATTTATTTTGGAAAACTTACATTCCATTCTCAGATTCTAAAAACAATATTTGGCGTAACATACAATAATATTATAAAGTAAACATAATATAGAACTATACAAGAAAAAAAAACAGTTAATAGATGCTCTTGATTTTAGGGCTTTCTTGACAGTTTTTAGGGCTAAATCCAGCATTAATCCTACACAGAGTGAACCCATGAAAGGGACTTGTTAGAACTAAACTCAACAGATTTCAAAAGGTCTGAGTAGATCTAAAACTGGATTGGTTAATATTTACTGCTAACTGTCTAGACTTGCTATTACTAATTGAGCAGTATATTCATTATGCAGGTAAACAAAATTTTTTGAAAATACTTTATAATTTAGAACTTTAAGCCAGAAAATAAATACGAATAAATGAGCTTTATTATGATCACTGACCAGCAGACAGAAAACAAATAAAACTAATGAGCCATTTTAATCTTCTCATCAATTAAACTTCATGTAAAACATATGCCAAGTATGGTACTTCTAATTAATTAATTTTAACCAAAATTTTCTGAGATTTTTGTTTCTTTTACAAGTTGACTGTATGCACAAGATTAACTCTGGGTTTATTGTCATTTGCATAAAAAGAAAGCCATTTAATAGACCATTTCACATTCAAATTAATTATTCAAAGCATGCAGCAAATAATCTGATATAAAAGAGGAAGCATATCTTACCCAACTACAGCATACTTCTGTCCATCAACAATAAGGTAATCAGTTGGCTTCCTTTCCTCAGGTGCTACATAATTGAACAAAAGGTTTTTTAAAACCCTAGAACTAAAAACAATCCAAAAGTACTATAAACATTATTAAAACAATGTTGCAAGTCCTCCATACAGAGAACAATACCATAGTCTCTCGAGACTGAAGGATGCCTAATCTGTAGATTCTCAAAGGCTTTTACAGCCGGGATCTGATGGTTGTTGTGGCTTTTTCAAAACAGTTTATTAAAACAGTTTCACAATTATGCACTAGCCTGAAAGGTAGAAGTGACAATGAACTACATGCAGGTAGGTACAGTGGGAACCCCATACCCATTCGTGATTGGTTCAAAGCCCCCACCCCCTGAAAAATGCATTTTATAGAAAATGCTATTTTAATACTGAACGCTATACATAGCATGGTCTCTGAATCCCTCTACTAGTCAGTTCTGGCAACGTCACCTTTAAAAATATATATTTCTAGGATTTTCTTTTAATATTTTTAATATTTTCAGACCGTGGAGAAGTGAATCAGTGGATACTAATCCTGTGGATAGGGGGGTCCTACTCTACATCAAACTCCATGCTGCAAACAACCATGTTTGGTGGGAGAAGGATTAAGTGCTCTGTTCCTCCTCTGTGCCCTGCATAGAAATCAAGCAGGGAGTCAGAGGGAACAGCACAGAAGGAAAGACAGCTTTTGCAACAGAGACCAAGATCTACAGTCTTTCCTTCTTCTATCACCTCCAGTAAGCTAATCAGCACTGTGTAGCCTTAGCAATAACATATGTGTGTGTTTGATAAAAGCATTTAAATTATTCTGCTTTTGATTGTTTAATTTTCCGCTTTAATTTTCCATCCTTAAACTTTCATTTGCTTTTGAATAGCTACACCATTCCACTTACATGCTCTAGAGCAGCCATTCTCAACTGGTGCCACAGGGGGCCCCTGACACATTTGAAGGGACCACAAAGTGAAACATGTGACTTATCATTCTGAAAGATATCTGTTTGGTTGTATCCTTGTTTGACAGGGGAACTTGGAACCTGAGAAGAGCCCCTAAAAGGGCCAAGGACAAAATGGCTGCTCTAGATTAACTAGTAGATCATACATACTATAGTTCATTCTCAACACTCTCTTCAAGACTGGAGGCTGTCTTTTTTCAACTTATCCTAGTAACAGGCTATATATGGAGTAAAGAATCAACTACCTACTCAATTGTGGAAAATCAAACCTGGAAAATGGCATACTGTTTATAACCTTAGGCCCAGGCTAGTATAAGTTCTCCCTTTGCCTGAGATGGGAAGAGAATTTTCCCTTTGCCTCCCCCCACCCATTGCCACCACTGCCCTTCCACCTGCTTCCTCTCTCCTCACATGTACTTTCCCTGATGCTAATACCATGTCATCTCCTCTCTTCCTTGTCACCTCTGTTTCACCCTTTCACCACCACCTCATTGCTTCTTCTTGCCTTGTAATCTTTCTCCATCTCATCCAGTCCCATCACCTATTCCTGACTCCTCCAGTCTGTATGTTCTCCAGCCCACCATTGTCCATTACTGAGCCTAAATTCCCCTTCGCCCATCACCCTTCCTATCTCTTCCAGCCTGCCCTGTCCACAGTTTCAGTTGTCTCCAGCCTACATCTCCTCTTGTTCACCTTGTCCTCTCCCCAACCTCCTGTAACTCCATTTCCATCATCTCTGGTCCAATGTGGCCTCTTCCTCCTACTCCTCTCCCACCTATGTGGCTGTTTTCTAACTTCTCATCTCAGAGAACTGTTAAGAGACAAGCAATGTTTGTGAGCTGACAAGGAAAATCCTTGCACAGGGAATTTCCTACATGAAACAACCATCATACAGATGATTTCTCCAGAAAAGTTCTGTCAAAAATGCCTGTGTTTGAAAGGCCTTAGAGCTTGTCAGGAAGCAAACAGCTAGCTCCACAGAGGATGATACTCTTCATGCTCTGCTGCCTGAGGCAGTCACCTCACTTTGGCTAACAGGAAGGCTAGTCTTGCTTAGGGCACATGGGCAGTATGCTAACAGAATAATTTGGAAAACCAAAGAACCACTGGAAGAGGTAAGGAACTGACTGAAAATCTACAAAAAACCTAACTTCCTTATATCCAAACAGAACACATCACAGTGATCATGAGACAAGAAATGGTTGACTGAATCCTTTCTAAAAACCTAACTTCCTTATATCCAAACAGATCACATCACAGTGATCACATCTATATATAAACAAATAAGATGAGGCTTTGAAGACTGGATCATGTTTGATCTTCAGTGCACTATAATCTGCTGTATCAGCTTCTCACTTGCATTGCAGGTTCTTTCCCATACCTTTATGCACTCACTGAGTTTGTTACTTTTTTAGGTGAAATGTGCTGTTTAAGGGGATATTTTTATATGATTTCCATAGGCATAATGGAAGCCTCTAGGAATCTTGAAATACATAGGGGATGCCCTTTATACATCATGGTTAAGAGACATTTTATTATTAACTTTAGGTTATCCTGGGGAATCTTCAGTCCACTCAGGAGCAGCTAACCTTCCTCTTCCTCCTCCTCTGCATTTCCTAGCCTTGCTAGTGCTTGAGGATGGACCAAACTGTCAGACCCAAGAAGCAGGACTCATGTCCTAACAATCTGTGGGTAAGATTATGTTTTTGCAAAATCACTGAATTTTGGATTTCAGGAAGCAAATTAGTAGCTACTGGAAATTCTTTTAAATAGGTAGCCAAGGATTTTTTAGCAACTCTGATTGCTAAAATTAGTATGAGGAGAAGGAGAACCTGATCTTGCTTACGTGTTTCTTTAATTTCTTGCCTCAGTGTTTGGAACTTTGCAATTTTTGAACTTTCTACACAGACTTTCTTTTGAGGGGGCTTGCTGATCAAACTTGTATTTCTGTAAGTTATGTTTTTCATTATTAAGGCCTAGGAGTTTGAGATCTTTAAAACACATAAGATTCACCTACACCTAGAAGGTGAAAGAACTGAAGTGACTTCAGATGACAACAAGCAGGACTCAGTTCTATTACCATTAACTTGTTTCAAATTAATGCTTAGCTATTTCATCTATAATCAGGTGTTTGCTTTAAAAACAGAAAAGTTTGGGAAGAAACTATTATCATACATTGTCTGTTGGGGAAACAGGTGCAAAACTCACCTCCCACTTTTTTTTCTGGTAAAGCTATTTTGCCATCTGATATCGAATCAACAAGATCCTGGAACTCTGCAGGAACATCAGCTTGCTTCCATCGCTCATTATCAAGCAGGAGGCTATTTATAAACATAGACAAAAGGGGGTTGGCAAAAAATAAGCACACTCTGCCTTGAAGTCTCTCACATCTGTGTTGATATGAATGTTATTACCAGGCTCTTGGTGTCAAACTATTCAACTTATGCAAATTCAATTAGTGAGAGGCAGATTCTGAAGCTGCACTGGCAAAACAGCCTTATTGAAAATAAATGATATAAACTTATGAAGCAGGCTGACAACTAAAGTATTGGACTCAGCTCACATATCCAGTGACCTATATATGCAGGGCTTGAAAAATGCACTCTTCCACTCGTCTGTGACGAGTGAAAAATGCTGCTTGACAAGCCTGTCTCTTTCTCTCTCTCTAATCCTGCAGTCCTCCCCTCCCTCCTCCCATTGCAAAAGGAAAACTGCCTTTGCGAGAAGAGAGTTTGAGCAGCACATAGAGATATAGCTCTGCAGAAGAATGTAGAATAGTCCCATGCTGGAGAATATGGAGATTCCCTGCGCCCAATTTCAACTGAACGAGGACACATCCTGGGGTGGGAGGGAACCGTAGTTCCTTAAGAGGCCGGGCACTTTTGCTTTCAGTTTTATTTTTCCTGGAGAGCTTGAAAAGAAAGGCATTCAAAATACAAGCTTCGTGACCCCACAGGCACGCAGGTAATAAAGCAACTGAAGTCTAAGGGTATAAATCAGTGTTTCCTGTGTATGTAATACAATTTACTGTATTTTGGGTTTGTATGCATTGTTACGTAGAAATAAAAGTGAACAAGTGCCTAGTTTAAATTTGTTAACATAAATTGCAAGGCTATAGTCCGGTCATGCTGACTGGTGAACTTTTTGACTGACCGGTGAGACATTCTAAAATTTTTCAACCCCTGTATATATGTGACCATCTGTAGCACAATCACAAGTGAAATCATTTGAGTGAAGTAACCTGCCGAACAGTTTAGTCACTCCAATAATATTGCTACAATTTCTTCTTTTTAGGACTAAGCACCTATAGTATCGAAAGGGGAAAACACTGCGAGAAGCAGCTTCCCATACTCTACAAAGCCCAGGTAGCTGAAAACCAACTATGCAGAAACTGAATCTCAGCTGCTGAGAACTTTACACACTTTACCACAAAATGTAGCAAACTACTTAAAACAGAGTACAATAAAACAGACAGGTTACTTACCTGTAACCATGGTTCTTCGAGTGGTACTCTGTGAATCCACACAAATGGGTTAAACTGCGCCTGAGCAGGACTCTTCGGAATATTCTAGAGCTTAAATAACTGACCAATAGAATGTTTCCCCATGGCGCACCTGCCCGTCTGCCCATGGTACCTCAGTTCCAAACGTCCACTGCTGTCATAGCTCAGATAATTAAAAAGCTGTAAACAACCCATGACGGACAGCAGGGAGGTTGGGCAGGACGTGTGGATTCACAGATTACCACTCGAAGAACCATGGTTACAGGTAAGTAACCTTTCTTCTTCGTGGTCTCTGTGAATGCACACAAATGGGTGACTAGCAAGCTCACTTACTAGAAGGAGGGCCGTCATGGTAAAACTGAAGTCAGTACAGCCCTTTCAAAACTTGCTTCCTTTTTGGCTCTGGCATCCAGCCTATGATGTGTCACAAAGGTTGATGGTGTAAACCAGGCTTGTCCAACGCTGATCGACAAATGTCAGAGACTTCAATGCCACATAGCCAGGCGGTAGAGGTAGCCACGGCTCTAGTGGAATGTGCCTTCAATACACCTGGTGGGGTCTTGCCAACCAGCTCATAGGCTTAAGCGATGGCAGAAACTATCCATCTGGAAATTCTCTGAGAAGAAACTGGATTACCTTTCCAAGGGGCGTGGAAGCAATCAGTCTGGGAGATTTGCGGAAGTCCTTAGTTCTAGAAATATAAAAGGCCAGAGCCCTACAAACATCAAGGGAATGGAGCATGCGCTCAACATTGGAAGAAGGATTATGAAACAACATTGGATCAAAGGTTGATTAACATGAAAATTCGAAATCACTTTAGGAAGAAATGAGATATCAGGATAGAAGATGACCTTATTGGAGTGAAATTGTATATAACAGGGGTCAGGGAACTTTTTTACCTTTTAACCCCCCCCCCCAAAAAATTATATACGCCAACATTACCCCCTTGATTCGAAAGGAAGGAAATCATACATTATTTGAATTAAAAATATTATTGAATCTACACAGGTTGTGTACCGAACTAGCAGGATGCACCAAATTTGATAAAGATGTACACTATTTTTACTGGAACACATTGCACTCCAGCCATGGTGTGGTATAGGGAGTAGTAAGGTGTCCAACGTGCCTAGCAAGTTGCATTAAATTTTTGCTAGCTAGCAGAGGATTTAATCATCATCAGTGGCTACCACAGTGGTGTTAGCAATGACATGCTTGCTAGAGACAACCAACGCAGAATTGGGGAGGGGGCTTTCCCTACTGCTTTAATCATTCTATCTGTGGTGTGCAAAAAGGAACAAACCAGGATAAAGGTCATGTCACCCACCCTGGTGCCACAGCCTAATATCAAAGGACCAGTGGGCTTTTTTTTATCATCATCAATGGAAAACTCAGCAGTGGCCAGAGGACTGGAAAAGATCAGTCTACATCCGAATCCCAAAGAAGGGCAGTGCTAAAGAATGCTCCAACTACCATACAATTGCACTCATTTCACACGCTAGCAAAATCCTACAAGTTGGGCTTCAGCAGTATGTGAACCAAGAACTCCCACAAGTACAAGCTGGATTTTGAAGGGGCAGAGGAACTAGAGACCAAATTGCTAACATGCGCTGGATTATGGAGAAAGCCAGAGAGTTCCAGAAAAACATCTACTTCTGCTTCATTGACTATGCAAAAGCATGGCAGAAAGTGAGGAGGAATTAAAGAACCTCTTAATGAGGGTGAAAGAAGAGAGAGCAAAAAACGGTCTGAAGCTCAACATCAAAATAACTAAGATCATGACCACTGGTCCCATCACCTCCTGTCATATAGAAGGGGAAGATATGATGTTACTTTCTTCGGCTCCATGATCACTGCAGAGGGTGACAGCAGCCATGAAATTCAAAGATGCCTGCTTCTTGGAAGGAAAGCAATGATAAACCTAGACAGCACCTTAAAAAGCCACCTTCCCCCTCTGCCTTAATTCAAGTTTTCTTTTTCTTGCCTGTTCTTTTTCATAGTTTTGAGTCAGTCTCTCTCCGTCACACTCTCTCTCCCTCACACACACATCCATCCACCCAGCCACCTTTTCCTCCCTCCCTCCATTTCCTCCCTCCCTCCATTTTCTCCCTCCCTCCATTTTCTACATACATTTAAATAAGCTTGATGAAGTCCTCTGTCTCTCGCACCTTTCTTTCCTCCTTCCCTTGCTTGCTCCTTGATCCTTTCCCTCCTCCTGCTTCTTTGCAGTCATTTCCGGAGGAAGCAGTCATTCAGAAGCCCCGGATTGATTGACTGATTGCCTGGGGCTAATCCACAGCTGTAACCAATCAAGCAGGCTTATCTCCGATCTCTGAACGAACTGAGGATTTAGAAGTGCCCTGTTGCAACCAAGGAAGTAACAGGGAGAGGTGGCTTACAATTTGAGGTTTTGCTGCAGAGGGTGGGGGTGGGAGGGAGGGAGGGGGATAGTACTCTGCTCATTACCCCCAGGATTTTCACTTTTACTCCATTTGGGGTAATTACCCCTGTTCCCCGACCTATGGTCTAGTGCTTCTTGAGAAGAAACGCGTTGAACAGCATGCTTCTGGAGAAGAACAGAGACTTCTTTTTCTAGAGCAGGTGAGTAAGCCATGATCTTGAGGTGACCGACAGGAAGAAGATCTGAGAGCTCTAAAAGGTAACCGAAACGTATGATGGCGAGCAGCCAGGAATATTTGGTGATAATAGACCACTTGTTGAAGAAGGGGGCTAGCTGTTTTTTAACAGCTGATCGGCGGCTTCAAAATGGCCACCGGCTTTCAAAATCCCCCCCCGCTGTTTTCTATGGATGGATTCCTCAATATACAGGCAGCGAAAATGGCTGCCATATGGAGGATCTTCGCTGGACTGTGAGTTTTTACCCCATTGGAACGCATTAAATGGGTTTCAATGCGTTTCAATGGGGTTTTAATTTTCGCTTTAAAATGTTTTCGCTTAACGGCGATTTTCCTGGAATGGATTATCGTCGTTAAGCGAGGCACCACTCTAGCTGGAATAAAAGCCAAACTTAAATGGGGGGGATTTATCCTGGTTTATATTATCAAAAAGAAGGTCCTGCTTGGGGGGAGGAGGTTGGTCTATGTCAAGTTCCAATGATTTGGCCATGCATAGAATCAACTGAGAATATGACGTAAAGTCTTCAGAGGGAGATGGGGGATGGATATCAGTGACATCCAAATCAGGTGTAGGTAAATTTGAGGGGGATTCCCTAGAAGCCTCTGAAGGTGGGTCCTGCTCAGAGACCGATGAGATGGAAGAAGCTCTGGATCCTCATTAAGAGATAAAGGTGGTGAAAGTGAATGAGGATGAGACCTCGATATGGAGGCTGGGGCTTGGGAAATCATTGTGAAGGTTTCCATGCCAGGTGGATAAGCGGTTCTAGCCGGTGAGATGACAAAACGTGAGACCCTTTCAGATGGGATACTGAGAGTGACGGTATTGATGGAGCCAGAGAACGCTTCGCAGGACATGATGGTTGTGGTAGATGGTGTTTATTAAGTTTTCGAGTCCATAGGGTAGGGTTGGAGATAATCTCGATGCCGACGTCGAGGTGGTGAAGGCAATGGAGATGAATCAGGTGGGGAAGCATAAACATATCGTACCCTTTTGGGCCTGACAATCGTCGGTGTTGTAAAAGGGATCAAGATCGTCCCCACGGTACCGATGTTGACCGCCATGCCAATCAATTTCCACATAAAGTGGCTCTTCATAGTCAGTGAAAGCATGCCACTGATATGGATGTGGAAGAACTATAACCTCCCGATGGTGAGGGATTTGTCGGCCTGGAGAAACATGTCGACGTTTTGCGAGACACTTACTCAGAGGGGATTGTTGTGATGACACCTTCAGGTTTGACAGTTGAATCACTGTTGTCTGCCCGACTGACATAGGGCTCGAATGGGCTGAGGCCAGGCTGGAGATTACATCAGCCTCAGAATGGCCATGACTTGGAGACAGGCTCGGAATCAATACCGAAGCCTGTGTCTGTGGTACAAAGCCATCCCCTTCAGAAAGCGATTTGGGATCATGCAGCTGCCTGGAAGATTCCTCAAGTATCGGAGAGGGCAGAGTAACTTAAACTGGAGGAAGTTCCTTCAGTTGAACAGACTCAGAAAGCTGTTTGGCCTTTTTATGTTTAACTACCTCCTTCTTTCTCTTGGGATCTTTAACAGATGGCGACTGTGATGTCGATGCCGACCCTGATGTCAAAGACTTCTTTGACTTGGACACCTTTGAAGAAGCTCTCGAAGAAGGGTAACAGGAACCGGTGAGGCAGTGGGATCGGGACGAGGAGTGGAAGGAGCAGGAGGCACGATAGGTTCCATGGATGTCGAGCTTGATGGTGTTAATGACTTCTCCCAAAGATACGAGTGGAGTCACTGTAAGCGGAGCTTCAGGGCGAGCTTGGCTAATTTTTTACATTCTTGGCAAGAGTTGGGCTGGTGTCTTTCCCCCAAAAAGAATAAATTTTGTTAGCACATGATGTATAATGTTTGAACGGGTCTGAAGAAGCCATAAAATTTGGCGGGAGCGGGGAAAGATGGGTGGCAAGGGAAAGGGAAAGGACTCACAGGAAACATTAACAATAGCAGTCCAGGATCAAAAACTGAGGAGTCAAGCCAAGAAGATAAAGATCCAAGTATAAAGTCCGATTCCATAATCCAAATCACAAACGGTAACCAGTACAAAGGCCAAAAACCAGACACAATAATGGCAACCAATCAAAAATGGAAGAATCGAAAATCAGGTCAGTCCAAGTTGAAATACACCAGATAAGAAAAACAGTAGTCAAGAAAACAGTCCGAGATCAAAACCAGCAATTTTAAACGAATTGAAAAGCTCTAAGCATTGTGAAGGAGTCTGACTGCAGCGGCAGCAAAAAGGAACTAAGGTACCACAGATGGGCGGGGCAAGCGCACCATGGGGAAACGCTCTATTGGTCAGTTATTTAAACTCTAGAATATTCCGAAGAGTCCTGCATAGGCACAGTTTAACCCATTTGTGTGCATTCACAGAGACCACAAAGAAGAACAAGATAATGTTCGGGTAAAAAGTATATTTTCTGTCAAAGACACTGGGAAAACAATACTGTCTTAGAACTCAGTCAAGCATAGATAGCTAGAAATGAAAAAATGTCCCGAGAGAAAGGGAGAGAAAAGCACAAGAGAATAAGCCAAAGATCAGTCTCAGGATTCCAAATGAACGAGATCCCCAAGGCTGTATTTATAGCCTACAATTCCTGAGAGTAGTAAACTCACGATTCCTGGCAGGAAGCAATTTATCGTTGTATGAAGCAATCGTTGTGCGAGGCTCCACTGTAAATGTTTTTATAGCACCGAAAATGAACTATACATACTCTCTGTAAGCTGCCTGGAATCACTAGGTAGGAACTAGTACTATGGCTGAAAAAAGAGGCAATGACTGTTTGAGGAGAAGCAAACTTTACCTCTTTCTTAGCTTCCTCAGTTTTCACAGCTGGTTTTCATTTTCAGGCCAGAATCTGGCTAAACATTCAGCTGAACCCAGAGTCCACCTGAAGCCATGGTGAGCTTGCAAAGAAGGGGAGACACTAACTGTAATTCCTTACTCTGCCCTTGTCAAGCTCCTGCTGCCTTCCTCAGGTCCAGTCAATCCAGTCCACAAGACAACAGTGGATGTCTAGGTGGTGCAGTGGTTGAACTGCTGTAGAGTAACCAAAACTGTGCTCACAACTCGGGGTACAATCCCGGGTAGCCAGCTCAAGGCTGACTCAGCCTTCTATCCTTCCAAGGTTCGTAAAATGAGTACCCAACCTTGCGGGGGGAGGGGCAATGTGTAGCCTGCATAATTAACTTGTAAACCGCCCAGAGTGCTTTAGGTGCTATGCGGCAGTTTATAAACAGCACACTTTGCTTCCCCACCCCCCTGCTTTCTCATGTCTGCCAATTCTATAGAGCCACTAGTCATCTGTCACCATGCCACTGTAGCGACTCAAAACCTGAAGTACAGTGGCAACCTGGGATCTCCAGGCTGCTGTCTCTAGGTCTTGGGTGAATAGGAGTCTATGCCAGAACCCCCCACCCCAAAAGGGGGGAGGGAGAACAGGGAGGGAAGGGAGAAAAAGTAGAGTTGGCAGAGAAAGGAAGTGGTATGGAGAATGGTGCCAAGGGCAAAGGCAGGGGCAAGAAACTCAGCAGCATCTTTTAAAACAGCACCTTGCGTCTTTGGCTACATCACAAAGACAATTGGGGGCAGGTTGAAAGCAAATAGGAGGAGGTGAAATAACCCTAAAATAGTGAGAATAGAGAAATGGGGAATGAACAGTGAAAAGACATAGCTGTTCCGCTCCCCCGTCCACTCTTTTTCCTTCTAAGAAATTCATGGTTCCTTTCCATTTAGAGGAAGTGACAGAGAGATCTAAAGTTAAAAGTAACTGGTACGTAATTTATGTAAGACAGCCTCATCATTGCCCTTACACTTTAAAAATACACACTCCAGAGAAATGTTATAGATTTCACTGGACCTTATTTATTCACACTCGGTATTGTTGTTGCCCTCTCTAGAATTCTGATCATTGTGTGTTAATTATACAGTACATAGGATCTAATTTTCTCTAGAACCGTGAGATAGTCTGTGTGTTCTGAGGACACGGGCTTCAAAACAAACACCATTCTGATATAGCACCCTTGGACTTCCATAGTCAGCCACCACTCGACACACTGGTGCCTTTTTGTATTTATTGATTGATTGATTGATTGATTGATTGATTGATTGATTGATTGATTGTATTTATACCCCGCCTATCGACCACTCTAGTCCAAAGACACTGTGGCCACCAACAGATTTGGGTCTTTGGACGTAATTATTTTGGCTTAGATAGGTCTTGCTACTCCCCTCTGATACAACCTTCAGCACATTGTTCTTTGTTAAATTAAGCCACAACTCCTTCTTACATTGGATGATGATAGCTTCCTTGGATCCTTTTTAAGGAGAAAGGTGTGGTTAAAATATCTTAAATAAATAAATTCTATTGGAAGCTAAATTTTCTTCTAAAACGCAGAATGTCACGTTATAGCAATACCCAGAAAGATACCTGAGCTTAGTCTTTCTTTCCTCATGGAATCTGTTTACAAATCTATTTGCTTGACTTTGAAGTGCACCACGCAATGACATACTCTTCCTACCACAGATCTGTTCTGTATCCAAGATGAAAGTTTCCATCAGTCGTGAAAGAGCAACAAACTCTGTAGAATTCAGTTTCTCCAGGAAACCGTCCTAAAAACAAAAGGAAAGTTGATGCAAAAGTGTTGAGATTATTTCTTTTCCAAAAGCCTTGGAAACTTATACTAAGGAAAGTCCCATTACCATGCTGAAGAAGGGAAAACCTTGAAATACGTATGAAGGACAGAAATAAATGCTTTTCAGCAAACAGTACAAGCCCCACCAACTAAAATAGTCAAAGGAGAGCTGAGTGGATGAAAGCTGAAGAGGTGGTAAATCCTGGCCTAAGAATGTTGGAAACTTTGTAGGACTGCTCTTGCCCTGGCTTAACTTTGTACTAGCTATATGGTTGCAATCCTGGCCTGCGGGAAGTTGCAATCTGGAGACACTTGTGTCTCCCTCTCTTATGCTACCCCTGCCTTGTTACCAGCAGATTTTAGACAATATAGCAGTTCTACCAACAAATCACTCTGTTGGCAAATCTAGGAGAAGTGTATTTCTGCTGGCAGAAGTGTTATTTTGCCTTGCCCTAACCTGCAAGAGTCTTTGAATTAGGATTGTGGTTCACTGTTTAGCTGAGTTTGGCCTCAACATGTTACCACATAGCAATTCCCCAGGCTGATCTTATTATCCTTAAAAGGAAAATAAATGTTCTTCTCTACTTAGCTGGAAAGAGATGTTTCTTTTGGAATGCAAGTACACAAAGGACTTACTTTTGCCCTAGCCAGCAAGAACTTGACAGAACGATCATGGCAAATGTCAGAGGCACTGTAAAGTAGTTCCTGGATATTGTTTGCCAGTCTACCCAGTTCCAGCTCTGACAGTTTTATATCTTCACCAATCCTGAAAGTAAAACAAAGATATGTTTGTCTACATACTGGCTGAAATACTGCTGATGTAAACTGATGCTGCACAAGCTGAATTCTGCCACTGGTTTAATCAAATTAAAAACTTCCTATCCCCTCTTCAGCTGGCTGGCCAGCTCAGTAGTTTAGGTATCTGGCTGCGAAGCCAGAGGTTGGGAGTTTGATCCCCCCCCCCCAATCGTGCCTCATGGGGGCAGAGTCAGCCTGTGTGGCCTTGGCCAAGCTGTACAGTTACAGGATGGCCCCCAGAAGAAAGGAATGGCAAACCACGTCTGAGTACTCGCTACTTGGAAAAGCCTGAAAGGAGTCAGAATCAACTTGACGGCACATTATTACTCGTGTTCAGGTTCTGAGGCTCCTTTGGAATTCCTTTTGCCCTTGAAAAGCCTCTGGTAGCCCTGGGACAGGGAGGGGGAAGTCTTTACCATATTTTTCGCTCCATAAGACGCACCTCTCCTTAAGACGCACCGAATTTTTAGAAGAAAACAGGAAAAAATAATCTGTTTTCTTCTCCTAAAAATTGGTGAGCCTTATGGAGAGGTCCATCTTATGGAACACACCCTAGGACCCTTTGGAGGCTCACCCTACACCCCCGGGGTCAGAGGGGGCGAA